TGTCCTCAAATCACTTAGTTGATTGGTTATGGTTTCTTTGGGCTCCCATTCCTTCTGTTGGGTTCCATTCAGCATTCCCTTTGTGGTCTCCCTGACTTCCTTCAGCTCTTTGTTAATGGATTCCATGAATGCCTTTAGTGATCTTTGTGTATTCTCTACCTGGTCTCTCAATTCCTGTATTACTCTTTGATTAGCTTCTTCCCGTTCGTGGGATTCCTGCAGATCTCTTTGAGTGTTCTCAGCCTGCTCATGCCATTCCTCCCTTTCTCTTTGAGTATTCTCAAGTTGTTCACGCAAATCCTGTATCAGTTTTTGAGTAGCTTCCTCACGCTTATGATATTCCTGTATAAACTTCTGGGATGCCTCCTCTCTCTCCCTATCACGCTCATACAGAGTCCTTTGTACGTTGTCAAACTTTTCATTTATCATGTTTGCCAGCAGTGTTTGTAGAGCTGTTTGGGAACTCTCCTCTGGATTATTCATTATCTGTTCTAACCCCTGATTATCAAGATTGGGAATTGAGATACCCGAATTTGCCATTTTTCTTGTGTTTTCCCGGCTTACTCTGCCCATTTGAGATGAAGATAGCACCAGTTTTGTGCTAGAACACTATCTTAAGGCAACCATCAACCAAAGTTTGCATTTGTACAGTCAATAGTCTACAGATACAATCTAGTTCAACAGATACATCTATTCGACATCAAACAACTATATGTTAAAGGGCTTCGAACCTCAGAGAAGAATTTGGAAAACCAGAAATTATTAGGGTTAGGGAGAGATGTGGGTAAAAAATAGGAATAGATTGGTGTGGGGAGGCACAGGGAGAGTTAACTATGTCCTAATCACAATGCAGGAAATAGGTTGGGTAGGATGCAAGTAGAGAGAGAGAAAAAAAGAAGAAAGGGAAAGGGGAATGAAAAGAAACCAGAAGAAAAAAAAATAGAAACGTAAAAATTAATGTTATTTTAGAGATTAAAAGACCATCTATTTATAGAGGAATATGAATATGTTGAGAGAAAGGGAGGGACATAGAGGAGATGTGAAAAACTTTAAAAAAATGCTTAAAATATTATATAGGTATAAAGAGGTAGTACTGCTATTAATGAATTTAAGTCTCGGAGGTTTTGAATTGAGTAATAAGTTTGTGGATTAAGTGTGTACACAATGGGGGATAGGGTCTACTGGTTAACTACGGGTTTATCTGAGGATGTGCAGGACAAGAGTTAAGTCACATAAAGAAGAACAAAGAGGAAAAGATGGAAAGGATAGGAAAGTGAGAAGAAAAGATCAGAAGTTCAGTAGAGCTAGACAAAAAACAAAAAGATAATTAAGAATGAAAGAAAAAGAGAAAGAAGACAAGAAAAGAAAGGAAAACACACATTCACGTATTCCTAAAATAAAAATTATAAGAGGAGAAAAAAAAAAGTTAATGGAAAACAATTATTTTTTCAGAAGAGGCAAAAATTAAAGATCAATAAAAGTTTTAGAAAAGCAAAAAAAATTTTTTTTATATATATAAGGTAACAAAAAACGAAAAAAAAACAAAACAAAAAAAAGAAAAAAAGAAAAGAAGAAGAAGAAAAAAAAAGTTCTTTGATTTTTTTTTTTTTTTTGGGAGGGGTGGGAAGAGTCCTGTATCTCCCTTTTGTCTGTAACCAGAGTCTGGTTGGAGTCTCTGGTCAGCTTGAGGTCCTGTGGCTTGATTGGTTTCTTAAGTCAGTTTGTTGGAACAGGCAGAAAAATGCTCTGCTTTACCCAAGATTTTGAGATCCCCCTCCCAGGTTAGTTTACTGGGAGGCTGATCTGCTTTGAGAATCACAAAAGAGGGGGATGCAGTGATGAGGCTAGGTTCTGGGTAGAGTTGAGGCCTTTCAACAAACAGTAGCTTTTCCCTGGGGCTATTTTGTGAAAAAAACTCACAGCACCCAGCCTCTGGAGCCATTCTCAGGGTTTCTGTTTTTCAATTGATTGTGGTGGCTGCTAGAGGGAGGGGCAGCCTCTGGCTCTGGTTACCCGGTGAGGAGAGCCACTCCAATGGCTGGCGCCTGAGCTGGGTGACTTTTCCCTGGATGGAACTGAGTCTGTGAGGTCACTTCGCCGTTAAGTTCTTGTGACCTGCTAAATGACTAGTTTTATTCCAAGGCCTGAGCTGGAGCTAGCCGCTCCTCCGAGCTTTGTCGGTATCCAAGATGGAGATCACCGGTGCTGGGGGGGGAGGGGTGGCCTTCCCTCCTCTGCTCCCAGAGAAGGAGTGAGGAAGTGGGGCTTCTACTCACGCGGAGTCTTGGATCCCGGGTCGTCTCTGGTCTGCAAAGTGCAGGATGAAGTTGTCCGCTCCTTGTCGGTTCTTGCTGGTGTTGAGTAGAATCCGCTCGTCCACTGCGTCTGGCTCCTTCGTCCCGGACTGTGTCTCAGGTGTGCCCCCGCGGCAGTGGTCGCTGCCGCGACCCTGCCGCCGCAGCAGCAGCTGCTGGCAAGCGCTCAGATGTGTCTGCTTGGCTTCCCCTCTCTTGACTAACTCTCTGTCCTGTGATGGCACACTTGGTGTGATTCTCTGGCTTGGGACTGTTCACTGGAACTCTGAAACTGTTTTCTATGCAAGAGCTTGTTCAGATTCCAGCTTCTCCTCCGCCATCTTCCATGAGTGCATTTCTTATCAAGCATTGTTGCCTCCTTCTTTGTTTCCCCTTCCCATCCCTTCCCATCTCCAACCCCCATACCCCACCCAAACCCCCACTCTAGCCCCCATGCCAAAATTGTAAAGTTCGTTTTTCGACATAACATCTTGTACATCTCATTGTTGCAATGGGTCCACCTGTATCCCTGTTAAACAATTTGTTATTTCCCTTCCCCTCCACAAATTATACCAACATCAAATACAGTGAAAACAGGGGTTATACCATGGGGGAGGGACATACAAAGCAACAAAGAAATATCTTATAAATATGTTAGAAACAATAGCAAGAAAGAAAAAACATTTGAGTCCTTACCTTGGGGTTCATTTCACTTAACATCAACTTATCTGACCATTTCTGCTTTGTCTCAGACATATACTAGTTATTGTAAATAAGGGAAACCATGGGACCTATGTTTCTTTGGGCCTGGCTTACTTCACTTAATATAATTTCTTCCAAGTCTTTCCATTTCCTAACAAATGGGGCAATGTCATTCTTTTTGATGGAGGCATCAAATTCCATTGTGTATATATACCACATTTTCTTGATCCATTCATCTACTGAGGGGCATCTGGATTGGTTCCATATCTTAGCTATGGTAAATAATTTTGCAATAAACATAGTTGTGCTGGTAGCTTTAGTATGATCTTGTTTGTGATCATTTGGGTAAATGTCCAAAAGTGGAATTACTGGGTCATAGGGGAGCTCTATGTGGAGTCTTTTGAGGAACCTCCATACTGCTTTCCAAAGTGGTTGAACAATTTTACACTCCCACCAGCAATGCAATAAGGTTCCCTTCTATCCACATCCCCTCCACCATCTGTTGTTATTAGCGTTCTTGATATAGCCATTCTAACTGGGGTGAGGTAGTATCTCCATGTTGTTTTGATTTGCATTTCTTTTATGGGTAGGGAGGATGAGCATTTCTTTATGTGTCTATTGGCCATCCTTCTTTCTCTCACAGTTTGGCCAGAGAAGGATAAATCACTCTTTATATGGTAATTATGGAAAATTTCATGTGAATGTAGGTGTAGTGAAAGGATATTTGCATAGTACCACATAATCAGTTCAGAAAAGTGTTTGGTAAAATACCTCCTTTTATTATATTAAGGGAAGTACTTCAGACCCAAAGAAACATTAGGTTGCATAGTTTCCCTCATTTGTAATAGTAAGAATGTGCCTATAAATCTACAAGTAAACCCAATGGATAGTAAATGACAAAAAATTCTTCTTGGACATGATAAATTAAACAGGACTGTAAACATTCACACAGTGAGACTGGAAGAGGATATTCTTAGAAGAGGATTACAAGGGCTCAATAGCTATGTGCATATGATCATATAAAATGATGCATATAGAAATCAACTCCAACATATGGAAACAAGAAGTTTTTTATTTTACTTTTTGTGGTTCTTTTTTCAATTTTCCCATCTTTGTTTCTGTTTTTGATGTCTGTACCTTTTTTATTGTATGTAAGATCATCTGATTTGGGGAGAGGAAGGGGAAGCACAGAAATGGTGAGATATAGGGTGAACTAAATCAGCAGTGATACTAGAAATGACTTATACCACTTGTGGAGGAGTGGAGTTGGGAGGGAAAAACTGAGAGAAAAAGACTGAAGTGGTAACACTGTTCAAAAAAAAATATACTCATTACCTGCTTTTTGTAACTTTAACACCTCTGTACATCACCTTTACGATAACAATGAAAAATTTAAACAAAATACCTCCTTTTTTATTATTGTCAATTGAAAATTTACACTTTTCATCTGGAGGCTTTGGTGCAATCCATTCCTAGACAGAATACATTGAAATAGCAATAACTATAAATGGTCGCTATGTCCAACTTAATGCAAAGATAAAATCAAAATCCAAAGGCTTACTTGAATTTTGTTTTTAGTGAAATGGGATTTCTGCAAAATGTTGATAATTTAATATTTCTCCTTTTGGCATATGCCTATGTTTCTTCTGTATATAATCTTTGTTTGCAGTATATTATGTATTTGACTTCATTTATTTTTTATTTTTATATTTTGTCAGTCATGGGGCCTGAACTCTGGGCCTGGGCACTGTCCCACAGCTTTTAGCTCAAGGCTAGCGCTCTACCACTTGAGCCACATCACTTCCAGCTTTTTTCTGCGTATGTGGTGCTGAGGAATCGAACCCAGAGCCTCATGCATGCTAGGCAAGCACTCTACCAATGAGGCAACTTCCCAGCCTGTATTTGGCTTTATTTAATTTTAGGTTTGTTTGTTTACCTTATTTTCTTTTAGATAGGTTGATTAACAAGCTAACATTTGTCTTTTATCCCTGCTCTTGGTTTCAGGGACTCCATGAAAAGACTGGCGCATTTACGGCTGTTAAAGTGATGAATGCCCGTAAGGTAAGGCAATGGTACATTTTGCCTGTATTTTACTTCTTTAAGGGCCATTTGGAGATGAAACAGTTCAAAATACTTTGTTTTTAATTCATTGTTTTATATAGTTCATTATGTTATCTCAATTCATTATAATTATCATCTAATAGTTTTACTTATTAGTATATTGTATTTATTGAATATTATATTTCCATATTTAAAATACTTCACTGACACTAAAAGTTCTGTATATTTTGGTATTCTGTAACAATAGAGAAAATATCTGTATTCTTTGTTATTTGAAGTTTGCTTTTTTGTTGTTGGAGAGAGCAAAAACGGTATTTCCACTAATAGTGTGTTAATATTTCTGTGCACCAAAATAGTATTCCTCCTCCAATGATTCTTTCTTAGAATTGAGGCCACTAGATTCTCTATGACAGTTAGAGGGAAAGACGTTATCAGAGATTCATATATTTTAATGTATTTCCTGACAGATAAGCAAGAGACACCATTGAATTGGCCCTATCCAGGCTAATAGTCATAAAATTGTGCTATGATTCACAACATATTGTCATAGGATTTGCTAAATACTGATTCATGTCCTCTTACGCATGAGTAACTCATTTTCTCAAGAAAATATTAACATGAATATGGTAAAGCTCAGGAAATTTTTACTTCATTATATCCTAATGGAAAATTTTTGTTGGAAAAAATAGATTTCATGGAACTGTTGTCAATATCATAAACTGTTATTTTCTAATTTCTGCTGGAAGTGAATTGTTGAAATGATTTTTGTTTTGCCAGTAAATATCAAATGGTGCAAACCAATGGAAATTTCAAGGGTTTGGGAGTTTTAAAGATTTATTTTGCTTTACCAAACCACAGTTTCCAAATAATAGACCCTCTTTTCTTTGCATTTTGTTGTTTACTTTTTTATAGTGTGAAAATACTGTACAGAGGGGTTACAATTACATGGGCAAGATAATGAGTACATTTCTTATCAAGCATTGTTGCCTCCTCCTTTGTTTCCCCTTCCCATCCCTCCCCCTGTTCCCCTACCGAATCCTCCCCCCCCTCACCCCCCCACCAACCTTGTAATGTTCGTTTTTCGACATAACCACTTTCACATCTCATTGTTGCAATGGGTCCATCTGTATCCCTATTTAAACGATTTACTTTTTCCCTTCCCCTCCACAAATTATACCAACATCAAATACAGTGAAAGCAGAGGTTATTCCGTGGGGGAGGAACATACAAAGCAACAAAGAAATAATCTTACAAATATGTTAGAAACAATCGCATGAAAGAAAAAAAACATTTGAATACTTATCTTGGGGTTCATTTCCCTAACATCAACTTATCTGACCTTTTCTGCTTGACTCAGACATATACTAGTTATTGCAAATAAGGGAAACCATGGGACCTATGTTTCTTTGGGCCTGGCTTATTTCACTTAATATAATTTTTCCAAGTCTCCATTTCCTAACAAATGGGCTATGTCATTCTTTCTGATGGAGTCATAGAGTTCAATTGTGTACATATGCCACATAAATAAGTGGGCTAAAGACTTAAAAAGAAACTTCTCTGAAGAGGAAAGAAGGATGGTCAATAGACACATGAAGGAATGCTCAACCTCTCTAGCCATAAAAGAAATGCAAATCAAAACAACATTGAGATACCACCTTACCCCAGTTAGAATGGCTATAATCAAGAACTCTAATAACAGATGCTGGAGGAGATGTAGACAGAAGGGAACCTTACTGCATTGTTGGTGGGAGTGTAAACTTGTTCAACCACTTTGGAAAGCAGTATGAAGGTTCCTCAAAAGACTCCACATAGAGCTCCCCTATGACCCAGCAATCCCACTTTTGAGCATTTACCCAAATGATCACAAACAAGACCACACTAAAGCTACCAGCACAACTATATTTATTGCAGCATTATTTACCATAGCTAAGATATGGAACCAACCTAGATGCCTTTTGTTGTTTTCTAAGTGAGACTATATGTAATAATTTTTTCACCATTTTAGCTTGTAGGATCTAATGCCATACTTAATATATATTTTAAATATTACTTGTTTGAATATTACATTTTAAATATTACTTTCATAATATTTAAAAAGCATGCTCATAGGAAACTTGAGAGGATAGGTAGGGAGGGGAACAATGAAGGATGAGAATGATGAACATGTTAAACTGAACCCTTTTATACAACAATTTGAAGAAAAAAATTTAAAAAATGAAAATCATACTTATCCCATAGATGGTTAATATTAATAATTGGATTTTGTTTTTGAAACATAGTACTTTACTTTCATGAAATGTGATTTCACTATTAATAAAGCAGTTAAATACATTACTATTAATTTGGTGACATTTCCCTATATAATGTCGAAATAATGAAAATCAAGACAAGAACAGTATTGTCTTACTTTTCCATTTAGTAGTAAAGGTAGAAGAATAATCATAAATCATTTTCAGAGAATACTAATGGGCCTTATACAATTTTGTTCTTGATTTTTCAGACTCCTTTACCTGAAATAGGAAGGCGGGTGAGAGTGAATAAGTACCAAAAGTCTGTTGGATGGAGATACAGTGTGAGTATAAGAAGTCCCCATTAACACTCAAGTCGCTTTTCTTGTATTAATCACCTTTCTTAAATTTGATTCTTTGCATTTTATCATTAGTCCATATCTAAAAGGTTCTTGCCTGGAAGTTAGTACATCTTATATCTCCCAATATGCTCACATAGATTCAGTCTTCATATGTAAGTGCTAGTATCTGTGAAAGAACAAGTACTAGAAGAAATGGTTCTTTGAACAGTAAAGCTTTGACTACAGGGGCAGGATTGAGTACATTTAGAGTACTGAGCCCTCTCAGTAAGTGGCCACAGAGAAAGCATCTGTAGGGCTAAGAGCAAGTTTTGCTTAAAATTGGCTTTGGAAAGTCCATTTTAGACCTTTAGTAGTCTGGACTCAATGGCATTTCTCCCACTATGATTCTAACAAATACTGCCATTTCCTATGAACCAAGTTATGAGGACTCTTTTCATTGTAAAAGCAATAGCAGAAAATTAATAAGCTACTCAGCCCAAAGGTCTGTTGTATCTTAATAAATACAGTCTCAAGTACAGTATAAACAAACCATTCTATTCTATGCAATAACATTCAGAATTTTCCTAGTTATACTAAAACAATATTGTTAAATAGCTTCATGATTTAGTACATACTACTTTCCTTTTTGTTTGTAATGTATCATGAGGACAAAGCAATCCAAAACAAAGCATCTATTATAGACGTTGGTAGATAAAGATGCCATAAAACACAAGGTCTGAAAATAGAATTATTTGGTCAGTTCTGATTTCCCCAAATTAAAAAAAGAATTTTAAGGATCTTTCACAAAGCATTTATGCCATTCTTTCCATAGTAAAAAGAGTTTTTGACTGTAGAATTGGGTGAAATTACAAAAAGAGTTCTGGTATCTTTGAGCTGCCTCTTCTTGACAAAAAGCAGAGTACTTGGGCCAGCCTGGAATCAACTGGCTCTGAGCCAGGAAGTGCTGTAGTATCATATTACTGTGAGATGTGTGAGAGTTTTAAATTACCTACTTGGCCTGGTGGATATAAAGTACTTATGTGTTTCTCACAAGCTCAACTTCCTGTTAATTGAGAGTGGCAAACACACTAATGTTTTCTACATATATCTCATATATGTTTGTTTGTTTTGAGCGAGCTTACATTTATGTGGGAAACCTACTCTTAGAAGTTATTTCTAGTTGAGGACTTTGAATTCTCTGATTATGTGTTTTAGTAAGAAAAATCAGCACTAGCTAATCAGGCAGTTAGCATCTCTAAGCCATCTTGAATCCTCTGGGTTAAAAAGTGTGTATCTTACACATTCATCCATTGATGCTGGAGCTCTATAAAAATGGAAACAATGTGGCAGCTAAGAAACATGAGCTCAAATCTCAGGCCTACCAATAAATAGCCAAAAGTACTTGGAAATATGTTTTTCTTACATAGATATGTAAGAAATATGTAAGTCAAGTTTCTCAAAGGAAAACCAATAGCACAACTGTAACACTATAGAATCTTCTTGACATCACATAACTGATAGGTTAAAAGGCAATGTTGATCCTGCTTCTCGTTAACTGTTTTTTTTTTATTCTTAGTTCTATATCATCATCTAACATCTATTCATTACATTACAGAGTTTTTATTCCTCTCAGTAGAACTTTGCTATCTTAATACAACCAAGAATACATAAAGAATTACTAGTTACTGCTGTTTATTTCTAATGGCTACTCATATCGAAAGATCAATATCAAAGGACAGAAGGAAGTATAAGGATCTTGTAGAACAAAAGGAAAGTCATATAACAAACTTTTGACTTTCCAGAAAATGGATTAAAGGAATTTGAAGGGAACTTATTAACTGTGCTACTCTGAGAAGCTGAGAATCCTCATCTTCTGTGTAATCTCCATACTATAAGTTGGTTGTATATTTCATCAATGCCTTTATTTCACAACAAATTTAGAGAGGGAACCTATAATTAGGATTTCCTACTGGGCAAATCAGGCTCCAGACCTTACCAGACAAATAGGTATCTAGATTTCTATATAGCAGTCAATTAGAGCTAGAATATATGTATGGTAAAACTGGAGGTGATAATTAAAAGTATTACATTTTAATTTAGAATAATAAACCTGTTTCACAGTTGACTGTGATGATACAAAACTTTTTAAGTATCCTAAACATTGAATTTTACACTTTCAATAAGTGACATTGTATGTGAATTATATATCAATAAAACAGAAACAAACAAAATACTATGATTCCATTTAATGAGAATATGATTAGATCTTCATTTTGCCGTTTTTACTCTCATACCAAACTAACCAAAGATCTCGATTAGCTGAAAATTATAATTGATTTTATTATTAATTGCCGTAGAACATGAGTTTTCATAGAATGTTCCTTTATGAATCTACCATAGTTGAGAGAACAAGGTTCATTGAAATGCCCAGTGTAGAAGATTTTTCTGTCTGTTTTTATTCCATAGGACGAGGAGGAGGATCTCAGGACTGAGCTCAACCTTCTGAGGAAGTACTCTTTCCACAAAAACATTGTGTCCTTTTATGGAGCATTTTTCAAGCTGAGTCCCCCTGGCCACAGACACCAACTTTGGGTATGTTTTTAATTACTCTCTTCTTATTCCATAAGGAAAGTCTGACCCAAAGATTGATATTTTCAGAGCTAAGATATCACTTTTGTTCAGATGCTAGAAAGTTCAAGCATTCACCCCCACAAGGCAAAATCTACTGCAATGTATGGTAAAATGTACTCTGTTCCTAGAGATGTGAGTGATAAAATATGAAAAAAATAACTTATATGCCTAGAAAAGAGCGTATTGGTGAGATGAAGAATCAAATGGACACTGGCAGTATCTGACAAAAGTGTTTTAAATATAGTTTTACTCCCTTTCACTTTAAGTAGCTACTATTTTGCTGGCATAGAGATTGTCTGTTGGATATTAAAACATATCAATTCTAGTTAGCATTTGACATGAGCATATGGGCTCATTTTACATGTTTTCAAAATGTAAGCACTTCTTTATAAACACAACTCCCAGCAGCTCTTTCCTAAATGGTTAGTTTTATTCTTTCTTTAGTCATCATGGCTAGGATATCACAGATTTCAGATTAATAGAAATTTGAAAAACTAACCAGACCCTACCCAAAAATTTTGCTGTCATCCACTATAGTAACAAGAAAATGAGCGTTGGTCATTATATTCTTCTTTAAAAATGAAATATTTGGAACATAAACTTTTTTACTAGCATTATCGAAGTGTATATGTTGTGTCCATTCAATATAATCATCACTGAATTGCCCTTGTGAAAATCAGCCTGTTGTGAGTTATCTGTATAGTTGGTTTTGTTTGGCTGCCTCCTCTCCTTTTGGTACTAGCATACTTAGTACAAATAAATGCAATAACAGTATCAGTAATAAACAACTCTAATTGAGGAGAGTAATATTCTGAAAAGAAAACACTAAAAGAAATGTTATACTTTTCAAATAGATCTATTTCAATATCAATAGAGCAAAAGGATATTATATTTGCTTTTTTGAGAAAGCAGTTTTAAGTTGAACAGTGATGTTTACTAGTTCAGCTCTAATAGTTGTGTTTGCCTTCACGTTGACTTCCTTCAGTTAACTAATACTATTTGAAAGGAACTTTACCAATTGGTTCCTCAGTTTGTTGTGCCTGTCCTGGGGTCCTTTTGCCTGGTCAGGGCCTAGGCACTGTATCTCAGCTTTTTTGCTCAAGGCTAGTTGGTGCTCTACCACTTGAGCCACAGCTCCAATTCTTTGTGGTTAATTGGAGATAGGAATCTCACAGACTTTCCTGTCCAGGCTGCTTTGAACTAGGATCCTCTGATCTCAGCCTCCTAAATAGCTAGGATTATAGGCAATAAAATCAAATGAAATACTTTGAACAATGTTACCCTTCAAATAGGCCTTTCTTAACAATAATCCCATTTGGAAGAAATTATCCTACAGGAATTTAAATGGTAATTCCTCCTTGGAGTTTTTATTGTTATTTGCCAACATTTTGAGGAAAATCATCTGGAATTTAAAAACATAAAACAACAAAAACCAAGCTTAGTCATAATAATGAAATGTAAACTCTTTTGAGACCTTCTATATCCTACTTCTTCCACTTCTGATCAAGCTCTTTTCTCAAACCACCTTTCCTTTCCTCTCCAGTCATTTCTCACACTTGACCCATGTGAAGCTTCTTTGCAAGGGCATGTATTCAATGTTATCCATAAACCAACTCTTCTTCAAAGCATATTTGAATAGTTCCTATGATTCAAGGATTAGCTTAAAACCCTCCTCCTGGTTACATATCCCAGGTATAAGACTAGACTTTCCTCCGCCACTAATTCTAGTCTTTTTTAGTCTTCAAGGAGACAATGAAGTTAGTCTTTTCCCCAAACGTTACTTACAAATACATATTGTATGGACTGAAAATGTCCAGGTATTTTCAGAGACTTATTTTCTAATACTTGATACTTGTCTGGCTTCCTTGCAGATGGTGATGGAGTTATGTGCAGCAGGCTCAGTGACTGATGTAGTGAGGATGACAAAAAATCAGAGCTTAAAAGAAGATTGGATTGCTTATATCTGCCGAGAAGTCCTTCAAGTAGGTCTTCATGTAATCATCCTCTGATATTGAAAGAACCTTGAAATGACAGTATACCTTATATCTTATATCTGATTAAGAATTCTAAATATGAACTTTGGATTAGGGACTTAGAAGGGTATAAAGCTTTGGAGAAAGTTTTATTGGGATACCTTTCAATTTGCAATTAGATAACAAAAAGGTAATGCTAGGTCTTTCCAAAATATAGCCTTTCAATTCATAGTACTATGTTCAATGGATCATGGACAAGACCACTTGAATTATTTATTATGATATGATCATTTTAGAGTACTTTTGAAAAAGTACAGTGCAATCATCACACACACACACACACACACACACACACACACACACACACACACACACACGATCAATTTAAGAGTGGGTGACTTGCAAAATAGCCCCAAACCATCTGCAACCATGTTTGCTCATAGATATATTCTGTAAACACTGACCCACATTTTTCCTTATCTCTAACATACAATTGGATGAAAGCAAGAATATTCTTGATTTGACAAACTCCAATTTGATTTTTGGCTGGAATGCGTAAGTTCACCCAAAAAGTATATTAGTAGAAACAAATAAAACAAACAAACATAAAACAAATAATAGAAAGAAATAAAAACAAAATGTTTAAATAGGGATACAATGAGGTGTAGAAGACACTATGTTGTAAAACGAACTTTATAATTTAGGGAGGGAAGTGGGGAGAGTGTAGTTATGGAGGTGGGAGGGAAGGGATTGTAGGGGAAAAATAAAGGAGGAGGCAACAATGCTTGATAAGAAATGTACTCATTACCTTGCTCACGTGACTGTAACCCCTTTGTACAGTATTTTCACAATAAAAAACTTATTTAAAAAAAGAAACAGGCAGCAACATTCAACATTGTTAGGATATCATTTCCCCCATTTGGTATAACTCATTTGAGATAGTACTGTCAATGGCTAAGAGTGGGAATTCTAGACTAAAAATTAAATTCCCGTTTGCCATGTATTAATTAGATGTATGAACTTCAGTCAATTATGTAATAATGAGGTAAAATAATAATATAATTCCTGTGTAATATAAAGGGATATCAATATATTATTCAAAGGATCACTGTGAAAATTTAGTAACTAGTGCATTCAAAGCACCTACCATGATGTCTAGAAATTGTTACTTGTATTATTAATCCTCAGCTAATGTCAGGAGCTATCTCACTGCAGCCTAATACTGCTTCCCATGTCATAGTTTAACCAAGTCATGGGTTAGTTTTAATAGTGAATGGGCTGGAGCCAGTGTGGTAAGCCAACACAAATTGCAAATGCTTTAAAATAAATTTCCATACTCCCTCAAATTCTCACCCTACAAGGCTGACTAGAAAATATGTTGGACTTAACAGATGGTTGGATAAAGAATAGAGAAAAACCATCGCTGAGCTATGATAGAGTTAACATGTCCAAGTCTTTACTGTTAGAGTTAGTTGGAAATATGGAGGTTAGAAAGGAAGGTAAAGTGGCCCAATGTATACAAAAGTTACTTCTTGGTGTTCTTTCTCTTCCATGGGTGTCCTGATTTATTTTCCTTCTCTTATAGCCAAAAGAAGTATTTCTGGGAACTACTTGTAGTCATTCCAGCCTAAAGAATTTTGTCTGAAAAAATCACATGTGGGCCATATTTCTTACCACGAGTTTTTCCAAAAATATAAGTATCAGTACCAGAAAAGGGAAATTCTCTCTCACTTGCTCTCTCTCTATATATATCCCTTTAACATGTGTATATTATACATACACAGGGCTTAGCACATCTTCATGCACACCGAGTCATTCACCGAGACATCAAAGGTCAGAATGTGCTGCTGACTCATAATGCTGAAGTAAAACTGGGTAAGTATGCTCCAGTTGGACCTGGAGCATCTTAGTGGCTCTCCCTACATTAAGAGAACTTGTTTTTTCATCATGAACTTGCCAATGCCCTTATTTGAGGTAGATAGATGCTGCCTGAAAAATGAGTGAAAATTTGGTTCAGAATAAAGGTGGGATGAGAAAAACAAGTGAACCTAAGTTAGTTATAAATATATGTGTATGTGTAATTGGAATATGTAACAAATTTTAAATTAGAATTGGTGGTTACATTTTGATCATGACTGTATTCTGTTAAAGATAGCTAATAAATGTATTTTCACAATTTAACTGAGAGTTAATAATGTACAAGTTTCTGTGTCATAGGCAGGAATTAGAAAATAAAATCCTATGAGAGGTTTTCTATAACTTTGAAAGAATTGTTAGAATTTTTATTAGATTCATTGTCTGTTGATCTTAGCAATAAAAATATTTGAATTAAAATCTAAAATATAAATAAAATACTAGCCCAGCCAGTAGCTCACATCTGTAATCCTAGCTACTCAGAAGGCTAGGCTCTAAGGATCATAGTTGGAAGCCAAACGAGGAAGCAAAGTATATGAGACTTTTATCTTCAATTAATACCAAAAAACTGGAAGTGGAGCTGTGGGCTCAAGTGATAGAACACTGGTCTTGAGCAAAAAAGTTCAAGGACAACATTCAGGCCCTGAACTCACACCCTAGCACTGGCATGAAAAATAATAATAAATAATAGAACAACGTAAACTAAACATATCATAGTGCCATATTTTGCCAAGAATATCAAAGAACTTTTAAATTACTTCATAAGCACAAATTTCTTCTTTGCAGTTTTCCTTCAGATATTTAAAAGTAATGATGTCAATCATAAATGATGCTCTAATAATATTCAAATCAAATTTAGAACCAGAAATCCAAAGACCAGAATGTCCTTCCTTTTCTATTCCGAAGGTCGAAATCGTACACTTTTTTTGCAAAATTATCTCACATATTATCATACAGTACACAAAGAACATCTTTAAATACACCTTTAAATATTTAAAATATACATTGATGTTTGACTTTTAAATAATACCACATAAATTATTTTAGTACTATAAAATGGCAGACAATCACACTGGTATGAAACATAAATCATTTTTATTATTTTTATTCATGTTAACAATTTAAACATGTCTCAGTATGACCTTAAGATATTTCCCATTTTCTTGCTTAGGAAGTAGATTTACAGTAGATATTTTGATAATTTGATGGGAACACTTTTCACTGAACATTTGTAGTAGAAGTATGAGATAGCAATTCTGTATTATTTTTGTATCTGAAAACTGCAACAATAAAAACACAATTTTAGGAAACTATGTTCAAATACATGAGAGACACATAGATTCAAATGGACTACACACTATATTCACATATAGAGCAAAAATACCTAACACGAGTCAAGTGGATAATCAACCCAGTCATTTGCACCACAATATGGAAAATATAAGCAAAATGTCATTGAATTATCTGTCACAAAGCTCCTGTACTAAAGTTAATGTACTTTACTTTGGAGGAAAGACCTCTTCATACAGAATTAAACTTTTTATTTTCTTATTATCATGAAGTCATTGTACACAAGAGTTCCAGTTTGCATTAGAATTTAATCAGGCCAGTTTACATGTAGTGTTATACAGTTTGTCTTAGATTTCTCAGATCTTAGCCTGTTTTTAAGCAAAAGATTAAGATTTCAGAAAGCAAATCTAATGATTGCCAAAAGAAATGACAGCAAAAGGAGGAAATGCTTATATTGTGATTAGAATTGATCAATAATTGTCATATTCTGGTCCCTTAGATACTAAAGATTATACCATTGTTAAGGTTTCAGTTCTACCTTTTTATTGTAATTTGAGTTTTTCTTTCTCATTCCCTTTCTTATTTTTTCTAGCCTTTGCCCCTGCCATTTTCTTTCCTGGATGTATACTATACATCAGTTTATGTATGGCCTTCATAGGCACTTTCTTGGCACTTAACATTGACCATTAAGAATAGTGGAAATGTGGAGCTCTGCTTGATCGCATTTATTTAAAAAAAATCACTTGACAATGAGATTCTGTAACAATAATGGTGATCTTCACAAAACTGTTAATATTTTTTGTTCTTACTAAATCTTTCTTGAAAGACTGCCTTAAACTATTAGGTTTGTTTCCCTTTTCTTTACTTCCTCTAAATTCTTCAATCTGCTATTCAGTTTTGTTTGCCATCCTCTAGATTCCTGGAAACCATTCTAAATTAGAAAATCTACTTCATTTTTCATTCTTGTCTTATTTTTTCTGGAATAAATAACCCCAGTCTATTTCAGCCTTTTTTTCTCTGATTCTGGGGATACCGTATTAAGCATCATCTTTTAATGTATCCCACAGATGAATAGGAGTCTGAACTTTTATATTCCAAGCTAAGCTATGGGTATCACAGTGAATATGTGGTTTTTGATTCAAAAAAATCTGTGTAAGAGTTTAAATTCTAGAAGAAAACTTTTTTTCTTCATCAAGTGATAGGATGTTCTAATGTCATGAGTCAGACTTCCTTATTGTTACTGTTTTATATTTATTGAACACCATTTATAGTGCTGTTTCTCCAATTTGGTGTGATCATTTCAGAGATTCAGGATGTACTCATGGAGCTTTCTTTTTAATATTTGTGATAAACATTTAGCCAAACCGACTGTAGATTTATAATAGCTCTGTTGAATCTCATTCCAACATAAATAGCAGCACAAGCTTATTTCCCAGTATTCCTGGAGTAGACTTCATGGTAAAGTGTTCTGGGCTGGAATGAAAATCTGTTATCCATTGTGGCTTTTGTATTGGCTTTCCAAGTTAAAGCAATAATTTATTGAGCTTTTTGTTCTTGATTAATTATTTTGACATCTGCTGAATTTTGCAGTTGATTTTGGAGTGAGTGCTCAGGTGAGCAGAACTAATGGAAGGAGAAATAGCTTCATTGGGACACCATACTGGATGGCACCTGAAGTGATTAACTGCGATGAGGACCCACGGCGTTCCTATGATTACAGAGTAAGTGAAGATTCAAACAGAGAGAATCATTTGGAAAGGATTTTTACTGACATTTATTTTAATGAGAAAGTGAAAGAATAAAAGCAACCAGCCTTACTTTTGCATTAACTCTAATAAGAAATATAGTACTAGCCTTTATTCCTACTTGTGGTTTTGATAGTATGCATTAAAATAATATTTTCAACAAATGTAGACAAAGTAGGCTATTGGGAGTTATTCAGATTTGACATATAAGGTCTAGTTCATGTTGCTTGCAACTTGGAAAAATATATCATTTGGCTTTATTTGGAAACTGAACTTACAAGGGCAAAAGGCATTGTAAACTTAAAAAATGATTTAAAATAAAGGCAATTTTAAATTTCATAATAACTTAGCTCCAAAAAGAAAAAAAACTAATTCAAGAGTATGAAGAAAATCCTTGGTTCATGGTTCACTTCTAAAACCTCAGAAAATCATTGGAATAGACAAATTAATAGTCCATGCTATTTATTAAAATTTCCATTGAAGCTGCAATTTCAACAATATACATCTATGTACACATTTCAGAAAGCCAATGTGGAAAGGGAAAGTCCCCATTTGTTATAAACTGGAAGAAACCTCACTCACTTTCCACATCATAAGTCATCCAAACAATTCATTGTGGTCTCCCTGTGTGGAACCTAGGACTCAATATTCGAAGTTGATTAATTTAAGTTCCATCTCTTCCATTTCCTTAAATGCCCTTTCTAGAACTAAAAATTAAGTATTTACACAGGGCCTATTCCATGTTCTATACTTTATTAGGAGCTATAGAAACTGTGTCCTGTTGTAAAAATAGTACTTTATACCTATACGTTTTGCACCTACTAAGGTTTTTTACTTGTATTGGTTATTTAATTTTTTTATCCCCATGTAACTAAAAGGAAGGTTAATCTCCATCCAACTGAAACTAAGAGATTTATTTATAAACTGGATTTCCAAAACTTAAAATTAACAGCTATTCAGCCAATGTACCTCTCCCCTCTTCCCTCTTTCTACACTCTGAAAGACCAAGTGCAGTTAATAATGGTGACGGTAATTTCGAAGAGCTTGTTGATAATTCTAGCCTCAGTTTATGTTTTTGAGCAGCTGCCAAAAAGTGTGTGTATATATATATATAATGATAAATTATAGATATATATTTATATATGTAATGTACATAAATGTTTATCATATAAATAAATATACCTCTGTATGTTTAACATGTGTATGATGAATATATGCATATTATTACACACTGCACACTAGAACTATGAAATAAATATTATAATTTCCATTTACATAGAAAGAAATGGAGGTACAGAGAGTAAAAGCATTTGCTTAAAATTACACAGCTTGTGAATCTATATATTAGGACTTGTTTATAATGCGTTTTTTGATATTTCAGGTTAGGCAACAGTAACAATACATCCAATATGTGCTTTTCTTTCACTGAGCCATAACACCCTGCTGTATAATAAGACATTGATTGGTCCTAAGCACAGATAATACTTGTGATAATATCAATCAATAATGAAACCAGATTCTTAATGCTGCCAATGCACCATTTTAAGTAATTTTGTGATTCTTTTGCTTTGTAGAGTGATGTTTGGTCTGTGGGAATCACTGCTATTGAAATGGCAGAAGGGGCTCCTCGTAAGTAAAAATGTTTCCTGTGATTGGTATGTGCAAGGGGTTAAGGAAATAGAGTCTGTGAAAGATGCCAGGAGTTCTTCTTGCACCAATCAGCTTTAAATGGACATACAGGTGTCCCACAAATGGTGGCCTTTTCAGTGATTTCCAAAAGCTGTGACTCTATAAGAGTCACAAGATTTGGATATTTAAAATAGTCTATCCATTTATCTTTCTTTGATCCTTATTTTAGGCTGACTCAGCATTATCCTGACAGTGTTTAGCAGCTAGAATTTCAGGCATTCCAGTTTATACTGACTCATAAAATATTTGGGTTGGACCACTTCTATAGTCACTCTTTAATGTGATAGAATAATTGAGATGATCCTCCAGTGGTTCAGTGAAGTTAAACCAATGCTTACCAACACATACTTGGTTCCTTGTCATTGCCCTTCAGCCACCCCAATGCACTTAACTGTTTCCTCTTGTATTCTCCACTCCTCCATCATTTAGCCAACATAATCACATCCTCTTCTCGCATATTACTGTTTTCTAGTAGGAAAATAAAAAATGAAAGAAACTTGGGTACAAATAGTTGATATCAATCTAATATACGACTCCATAGCACATTTTATCTCACATCTGCTTTTTTCAGTATTTAAATCGAAGTATTTAGATGCCTCATATTCCTGTATGTTCTCTCTGTATAACATCTACCCACTGAGCTTTATAAACTTGAACTATCTTTTTTTTTTTTTTTTTTTTTGGTGCCCGGTCGTGGGGCCTGAACTCTGGGCGCTGTCCCTCAGCTCTTCAGCTCAAGGCTAGCGCTCTACCACTTAAGCCACAGCACCACTTCCGGCTTTTTTCTTTTTGCTTATGTGGTGCTGAGGAATTGAAACCAGGGCCTCTGGCGTGCAAGGCAAGCGCTCTACCACTGAGCCACCTTCCCAGCCCCTTGAACTATCTTTAGTATTGTGTTACAAGGTCAATGGGAGGAAATTCAAAGGAATCATGGTAACAAAATTGTTAAAAATTTCTGGTGTCTCCTGGGATTCCAAACAGGGGCTGAAATAAAGCTATGACAGATGTGGAGATCAATTTACTACTGCCTCTAGTGCCCCAAATTGCAAAGTCCCTAGGTTGGGTGAAAAAAAGTCATGTTGGGCCTTGCACTGGTGGCTCACCCCTGTAATCCTAGCTACTGAGGAAGCTGAGATATGTGGATTGTTGTTTGAAGGCTGCTTGGGCAGGGAAGCCTATTAAGACTTTTATCTCCAACTAACCACCAAAAATCCATAAGTGGATCAAGTGAGTAAAGGGCTAGCCTTGAGCAAAGAAGTCCAGGGACTGCACTCAGGCTTTGAATATTCATTTTGGAAAATGTTAAAATGTAAAGACTATTTCATAAGCTTCACATGTAAAACCGAAATCAGACTGAGGAGATAGAAATTATTCCTGATATGATTATTTCTGCTTGGAAAATATGCTACACAGAGAGCAGCAAGACTCTCCCTATCCTCTTCTCTTTTGCTTTCTTCTTTCCTTCACTTCTTATTTTTCCCCATTGCTCTTTCTTCCTCTCTCTTTAAATGTGCAATATATTTCATACTACTATCAATACATGTGTTTATTTATAATGCATGACTGTATCAACTGGTCATACAATATGCATGAAGGAATCTTTTCCCATTGTTTCTGAGCACTCCACAAGTCTTTTTTTAAATCCCAAAATAAAAATACCAAATCAAATCATAAAGGAGGACATAAAGGAATGAAGGGCAAACTCACAGAAAGGGTGCAGAATAGGCAGCTTGCACAGTATGCGAACAGCAAGCTGCTTTGAAAAGATGAGTGAAACCCAGGACATTGGGAACTCACAACGAAATAAGGCCTAGATAAGTCATTACAACAATGAAGCTTTGATCATGAGCAACACTGGACATAGATTTCATTGAAACCCTTTCTTTCACAAGTCTATTTTATTGTCTGGACCCTTAACTTTGCATAAATGTGGTTTTCATTAACATTAGCAACCCCTCAGGTTATGACAATTATCTTCTCAGAGGGGATGGTTCTCCAAAGCCACAGTTATATTATACTCTCCTTTCAGATTCAGACACAAAATTATCTCCCTCTTGTCTTTCTTCAGTGAATCTGTCCTGGAGAAACAAAACAAAAATATCTTCTCAATGTAAGGGTAGTATAAGAACTTTAAGAAGAGAGTCCTTCCATGCATGACCTTCTTCAGCCCTTAGGTTCTGGGTAGAAGTTCAAACAATATGGGAATCTTTATTACTTTTAGGTCATATTTTGCTAGCAGATATCAAATACCCAATAGTACACACTGATGGATGCTGAAGAGACATATTTCATACCCTCTGTTATTTATATAAATGTCACGTTTCCTTATTGAGAAGCAGGATTGGGTCAACAGCCCATCCTTATTATCTATACTAGTCAATTTACCTTAATCTAGACCATTTCTTCCCTACTGTGGCCCTCTTCCTTATACTATAGGAATTAATTTTAATATTGTGGACTGTACATATTCAGAGCTCTGTTTTTATTCCTTGTAGTATCCCCTTTTTACACCTCTTGTCAATATTAACCAAAGTGCCTCATGCACCCTGTCCCATCAGAAGATTCATTCCTTCAATATTTAGATTTCCTCAGGTCTCAACATGTTTTAGGAATAAATCACACTATTTAAACTACTTCATACTAAGACCTAATTTAACATGTGTCCAGCCTCTGAAGAGTTATGTTTTTAAAAGGAGATAGGCTATTTCAAAAGAGTAGACATCTAGTTCTGAATATTTAGGCAGTAATATGAGATATAGTTTAGAAAGGACACTTATATGCATTAGTAAAATTAGACCTATATTCCTATATAGGAAATGACCCAGAGCTGATGTTGAGCTTTTGCTCACTGTATTCTTTACTGTCTTATGACCTTTTCCCTTCCATTAATTAAAACTTGGATTCTCTGTGACCGCTGAAGATGTTGTCAGTTGACTGAATGATGCTCAGATGTTAATAAATGACAACTGTTTAGTATGGTACAAACTCATAATGTTTAAAGAAGAGTATCTTGTTACTGATTAAACATAGGAAAGGAAATAAGAGTCAAACATGATCCTGGTCTTTTGAAACTGAAGTTAATTCTGAGCTCAATTATAAGCCTGCACCTTCTATGAGGATATACCCAGGTAATTGAGAACAAAGCAAAACCTTTAAACAACATTCTTTCTTTTACCCTAATAAAAATAATGGTGTCAGGAGGCAGTGGCTCATACCTATAATCCTGGCTTCTCAGGAGGCTGAGATCTGAAGGAGCACAGTTCAAAGCCAATCCAGGAAGAAAAGTCCATGGAAACACATCTCCAATTAATCAACAAAAAGCCAGGCTGGAGGAAGTGGCTCAAGTGGTAGAAAAACAGCCATGAGTGAGAGAGCTAATTGAAAATGGGAACAGTACTTATGTCCTGGGTTCAAGTCCATGAATGTGCACCAAAAATAATATTTGTTCATATCAAACTCTCTTCACTTGAATGATATATTTGGGATATTAAATGAAATTTATTACATAGTTGCCTTGTAGAGATTTTTCTGCCAGTTTCCATTAGTCATGACACAAGGGGAAATAAGTGAAATAAAACACATATTTTAAATGATTACAGAAACCCCTAGAATTCCAAAAGCAATGTGGTTTGTTAGACCTTACATTGTTATTGGCTTTCTTTGAATGCCTGTATAGATGAAAAAGAAAATGAAAGTGTAGTAAATTGTCACAGACTTGAAGTGTCAGTTAAAAATCTTTAGTATAGATTAATAACTAATATTTTTAAACATCTGCTATATGAAAAACTTTTATTGTTAGGTTGCTTTTAATAGTCATAGCACCTTTTTAATAGTTCTGTGTATTTTTGTTTTGGTTTTTGTCGGTTGTGGGGCTTGAACTCTGGGCTTAGGCGCTGTCCCTGAGCTCTTCAGCTCAAGGTGAGCGGTCTACCACTTGAGCCACAGCATCACTTCTGGTTTTCTAGTGGTTTATTGGAGAGAAGTGTCTCATGGACTTTCCTACCCAGGCTATCTTTGAACTGTGATCCTCAGATCTCAGCTTCCTGAGCAGCTAAGATTACAGACATGAGCCATTGGTGCCCAGCTGGTTCTGTGTTTTAGATGAAGAAATGGAGGTGCAATATAGGTTAAGTAATTCACCCAAGGTCATAAATCAAAGGTAGGATTAAAATTCAGGTTTACTCTGGCAGTAGCTTATGCTACATCTACCTCTTTCCTAGGACTCTTAGCTCCCAAGAAAGATTCTACTCAGCTTTCAAGACTACTAAATTACACTTCTTTACAAATTACTGTGCATAGTTACTAGACTGGTTGACTTTTTCAGTCTATAGTTACATATGCCATTTTATACCTATAAATACCCACCGTACAAAAACGTTATAAATACCCACTGTACAGAAATATTAAAGAATATGTCCAACTGTAATGGACTTTTATGATATAATCCATCAACCAAGCAGTAAAAAATTGTGTGTCAGTACGGGGTGACTTGATTTTGGGGCCTGGGTACTGTCCCCACTCTTAATTGCCTCTCTTGTTCATAGCTGACCCTCTACCACTTGAACCACTGCTTCTGGCGTGGCTTTTTGCTGGTTAATTGGGAAAAAAAGCCTCACAGACTTTTTTTCCTGGGCTGGTTTTCAACCATGATCCTCAAATCTTAGCCTACTGAGTTGGTGTGACTGATGCCTGGATTCAAATATTTTATCTAAATTATTTGCCACACCCATTAATAGTGCTGTTATAAAATATTACCTAGTGCGGTGTTTATGTTTTTTACATTCTTATGTACATCTTCATCCCTTAGTGTTCATTCAGAAGACTAACTAGAAGAATAGACAATACCTCTTTGGTGAACAGTGTTCTAGTTGTGCTTTGTATTGTTGGTAAAGCTATCAATTTCCCTTTACAGCTCTATGTAATCTTCAGCCCTTGGAAGCCCTCTTCGTTATTTTGCGTGAATCTGCTCCCACAGTCAAATCCAGTGGCTGGTAAAGATAAATGTCTTAATCTCATTGGCTTAAACACATTGATTTTATATATTTGTATAGCAAAGTTTTCATTCATTTGGTCAGTCCTGCTTCACCATTTTATTGGAAAATAGTTCTGTTAATCCAGGAATCACAGCAGGAAAATTAACCAGTTTTCATCAAGAGCATTTTCATCAAGAGCTAAGTATCCAGCTAGAAAGAAGTAATGTTCCCCAAAGGATATGATATAGATATTACTTCCTTGTTATTAATGGGCATTTTTCAGATGCTTCTCAAGACATGAGAGGGACCAATACAAATTTGGGGGGATTTTTCTTACTGTGTTTAGATAGGCAGTGATTGTGATTAACAGACCATTAGTCTATTAAATTAAATATCCACAACCTAAAACAGAGTGCTAATTCTTCTAGAGGGACCAACTGAGCCAAACTTGAAAATTCTTGTTGATTTCATTACACTCTTGCTTATTCTTAGTATTTATTGCTTGCCTTCTGTGTGATGACTATGATTTGATTGCTAGCATTTGTCCTTGCAATTCAGTTGAATTCTCTTCATAAATATAAGATTTCTAACCACATCTGTTTCCATGGGCCATTTTTAAATGGCTTAGTTAAACCCCCTCCTTTTGAATCGTTGTATCTATGTCCCTGTGGCTAAAACTGCACATCATAAATGAAGCATTCAGGCTTCAGAGGATAACTGTTGTGTGAGTGACCAAATCTAACCTCACATACTTATATATCATAACTGTTTAATTGCCATATCACTGCATGAGGTTTTACCATGTGTATGCTACTGAATTCTTTCCAATTTCTACTGTCATGTGGATAGAGAATGTTGTTGATCTGGCTTCTTTTCTGAGGCTTAAATGACCTCTGCTAATTGAAAAGACAATATAACTGGAGGCAACTCTTTCAAAAATATTGTCTTCAAAGTGGCTTGTAGGTGGGGATGAAAAGACATGTGGCAGGCCTGAAAATTCTCTTCCATTCCTCTGAATCATTTGTTTTAGGTCCCGCAAGTTCCACAATTTCATGGAAAAGTGCATGATAAAGAACTTCCTGTTTCGTCCTACTTCTGCAAACATGCTTCAGCACCCATTTGTTCGCAGTATAAAACATGAGCGGCATGTTGTGGAGTCATTAACAAAGCATCTTACTGGAATCATTAAGAAAAGAGAGAAAAAAGGTAGAATGTGAATGTATGGAGTTTAATATCACTGGAATGAGCTCTCAGATGAAAGCAAAATTCACTCCTTTATTGTCTTGTGTGTGTGTATGTGTGTGTGTGATTGATGTTTTTTCCATGTGCAAAACTATACACATCATGTTTTCAAATGAAAAGCATTAACATTAATATACCTTTGCTGATAAAAGTATTGGAAGTACATCACAGACACAAGCTAGTCCATAATGAATGCAGAAAAACCACACATGGGCCTAATATCCAGAGCTATAAGATTTCCACAATGATACCTGCAGGAAAAGTTCCCATTTACATGACCTTTATGCTAAATATATAAATATAGTTGTCATATTCATTTTCATATAGAAAACTCAAAAGAAACTCATCAATTTACAAGCCTCTATTTGTCCATAATAGCAGCACAACTGATAGAAAAGAGGCTGAATGTTTTAAATATAATAAATGTAATATCCAGAATTAAGTTTTTAATCCTAAGCCATAAAGTCTGTGTTTTTGTTCCATTCACCATTTTCCCCATTCCCTTTTCTCTCTCTTTATAACTGAAGCTAGTATATTGCACATTTTCTTTCCAATGACCATAGAAATGAATCCTCTTGAAATACACTATTGTAGGCATAGAATACTGTTTGCATCACCATACCATTTGAAGGGCATTTGAAGGGCTACCTTTTTGCCCTTATGAATCTACTTTACATCCTGATAGTTGCAGGATGAAGTGACTATGGTGAATTAAATCCACCTTTGCTGACTCTTTCTCTTTCATAAAAAAGGGATCCCTTTGGTATTTGAAAGAGAAGCTATTAAGGAGCAATACACCATGAGAAGATTCAGGTGAGTTAAATAAATGTTCTATATAGTTTGATGATAGCAATTTACATAAAGTACTTGCCTCCATACTGTTGTCTTTCTATCAGAATAACTTAATCCTTACCTATATAAAATAACAGATATCTATTTCCATGAGATATTGAGGGAAAATACTGAAAAAAATACTAACCAAAGCCTGCTTAATATGTAGCAACAGTATGATCAATAGATTATCAGACTCCATTAACAATTTACTGTATTATTATTATAAATAATATCTGCAGGCTATTTCAGACATTATAGGAACTAATCCAGAAAAATTACTGAAATATCCTTTCTGCAAAAAAGAAAAAGGCCCATCTTTTAAAGTGACAGCAATTCTTCTGGATGGCTCTATTCCACTGAAAACTAATTGTATGGCAATCATTTGTATGTTTATTTCAGAGGACCCTCTTGCACTCATGAACTTTTAAAAATACCAACCAGCAGCAGATGCAGACCACTTAGAGTCCTGCATGGAGAACCATCTCAACCAAGGTGGTTACCTGATCAAGAAGAGCCACAGGTTCAGGCACTTGAGCAACTACAAGGGGCAGCTAGAGTGTTCATGCCCATACAGGCACAGGACAGTACACAAAGACCTCTACAGAGTCAGGTGCAGGCACCTCCACGATTACAAAAGGCAGCTAGGGTTTTCATGCCACTACAAGGTCAGGTGAAGGGTAAGGCATTTAGGCCTCTACACATGGAGATTAAGGCACCTCCACGACTACGGAAGCTATCTGGCATGATCATGCCACTACAGGCTCAGGGCAAGATGGCTAGGCCTTCACAGAAAGAGAGCTCCATACCCAAAGAACAACAGGCTCAGACCCAGGAAAAGAAACAAGCTAAGGCCCAGGAACAGGAACAGGCTCTGGCAGAGAACCAGAAACAGGCCCAGGCCCAGGAACAGGAACAGGCCCTTCTAGAACAGGCTCAGGCCCAGGCCCAGGAATGTACACAGGTTCAAGCCCTAGCATCAGAACAGCCACAAGATTTGGACCAGGTGCCAGAGGAATTTCACGGGCAAGATCAGGTACCTGAACAACAACAAAGACAGGGCCGGGCTGCTGAACAACGGCAAGGGCAGAACCATCTCCCTGAACAGCATCTGGACCAGAACCAAGCGCCTGAACAGCCAGAGGTACAGGAACAGGCTGCTGAGCCTGCACAGGCTGAGGTTGAGGCTCAGGCACCTGAGACATTACTAGTACATGCCCAAGTGTTCCTGCCCCTACTCTCACAGAACCACCATGTTCTCTTGCCACTACATTTGGATACTCAGGTGCTCATTCCAGTAGGGGAGGGAAATGAAGGGTCACCGCAGATACAGGCCTGGGCACTAGAGACCTCACAGGCAGTTGAGTCAGTTCAAGCTCTGATAGAAGGACTCTCAAGAGACTTGCTTCGAGCACCAAACGCAAGTAACTCGAAGCCACTTGGTCCACTGCAAACCCTGATGGAAAGCCTCTCATCAAACATATTTTACACTCAACCAGAACCAACTAGGAAGAAAAAATCAAAAGTTTCTAGTCTGAGGCAAGCATTAGCAAAAAGACTTTCACCAAAAAGGTTTAGGGCAAAGTCATTACGGAGACCTGAAGAGCTTGAAATTGAGGATGTAGAAGCCCGCAGAAGAAGGCGCCAACGCAGATGGGAGGACATCTTTAATCAGCATGAGGAAGAACTGAGACAAGTTGAAAATGTAAGAGTGTTTTTTTTTATATTTTCACATATGCTAGTTAATGCTTATGTTTTGCCTTCGAAAGAATTTTCCTCGTGTTTTCAGGTAGTCTGATCAAAAGTGGGAAAAGCTGCTTGAAATACTGTGGGTAATAGCTTGATGTATCTTTTTTAATTTTCTTTTTTAATTTTTATTTTTTTATTGTGAAAATACTGTACAGAGGGGTTACAATTACATGGGCAAGATAATGAGTACATTTCTTATCAAGCATTGTAGCCTCCTCCTTTGTTTTCCCTTCCCATCCCATCCCATCTTCTCTCCGCCCCCCACCCAATCTTCCTTTGGTGGGAACTTTGGTTTCTGAAAGAAAAAACATTTGAATACATATCTTAGGGTTCATTTCCCTAACATCACCTTATCTGACCTTTTCTGCTACATATACTAGTTATTGCAAATAAGGGAAACCATGGGACCGGTGAAAAACTAAAGCCATTTCCTCTTAACTCAGGAATGAGACAAGGATGTCCACTCTCTCCACTGCTCTTCATTCTACTATTAGAATGCCTAGCTACAGCAATAAGACAAGATGCAAACATAAAGGGGATCCAAATAGGGAAAGAAGAAGTAATACTCTCCCTCTTTGCATATGACATTATCTTGTATTTAAAGAATCCCATAGACTCCACTCCCAAATTACTCAAGCTGATTAAAAACTTTGGCAAAGTAGCAGGGTATAAAATTAACCCTCAAAAATCAATGGCTTTTCTGTATGCCAACAATGAGAAAAGTGTGGCTGAAATTAGGAAAGCAACTCCATTCGTAATAGCCCCACAAAAAAATAAAATACCTAGGAATTAACTTAACCAAAGAAGTGAAGGACCTCTATGATGAAAACTTTAAAAACTTGAAAAAGGAAATCAAAACAGAACTTAGAAAGTGGCAAGAACTCCCATGCTCCTGGATTGGAAAGAACAACATCATGAAAATGGCAATACTTCCCAAGGCTATCTACAAATTCATTGTGATACCTATCAATATTTCTACCTCATTCTTCACGGAAATAGAAGAGGCAATCCAAAAATTCATAGAACTTTACAACTTGGGGGGGGGGGAGGATTGGGTAGGGGGAAGGAGGATGGGAAGGGATGGGAAGGGTAAACAAAGGAGGAGGCTACAATGCTTGATAAGAAATGTACTCACTATCTTGCCCATGTAATTGTAACCCCTCTGTACAGTATTTTCACAATAAAAAAAGAAATACAACTTTATTAGTTTTCTACCTATTATCTCCTTAATCAAAATTTACTATTTTCCATCCTTTAACTTTATCTTTATAAATTTCAATGATATTTATAACTTCTCCAATTTATCACCACCTTTGCATAATTAGTCAGTGGTATGATTGCATAAACCATATACTATAAAAACAGTCATAACTTAATAAATGCCCATATTGAAGTGTGGAATATAATGTGATAACTTCTATCTTATTTAGGAACCATCACTAAAATATCATTTCAAAACCCTCTAATATAGATAGATATAATTTTTTTGCTAATAAGATTTCTTTTTTATTGTAAAAATGCTGTACAGAGGGGTTACAATTATATGGTCAAGGTAATGAGTACATTTCTTATCAAGCATTGTTGCCTCCTCCTTTGTTTCCCCTTCCCATCCCTTCCAATCTCCCCCCTCCCCCCTTCTTCCCCCACCGCACCCCCCATCCCACCCCACCCCACCTCACCCCCAGCCAAAATTGTAAAGTTTGTTTTTCAACATAACGTCTTGTACACCTCATTGTTGCAATGGGTCCACCTGTATCCCTATTTAAACTATTTGTTTTTTCCCTTCCCCTCCCCAAATTATACCAACATCAAATACAGTGAAAACAGGAGTTATACCTTGGGAGAGGGACATACAAAGCAACGAAGAGATCATCTTAAAGAAACATAGGTCCCATGGTTTCCCTTATTTGCAGTTACTAGTTTATGTCTGAGACAAGCAGAAACGGTCAGATAAGTTGATGCAAAATGAACCCCAAGATAAGGATTCAAATGATTTTTCTTTCTTGCGATTGTTTCTAACATTTATAAGATGATTTCTTAGATAGATATAAGTTATCTGGAGTTGTTAGATACAAGCTAGCAACACTGACAAATAATTTGCTTGATAAGAAAATTAATGAGGTCAGAAAAAGACTATGACAACGTTTGTTTTCTAATACTTTTCAGCACCTATTTACATAAAAGGAATTATTATGATGATACTAAATTAAGCATTATTATCTATGTCCACTTACTTAATAATAATTGATGGTGTAATTGCAAATGACCTTGTCTGAATTCTAGATAAAAGTTTGTGCACATTGAACCAATGGAATATATGGGGATTGCTTGGCATGCTTGACCTATGAAAAAGTAAAAGCATCAAGAAGGAAGGCCCAAAAGAGGAAATGAATGTCTAGCTCCCAGAATATAAAGAGAGGAGAAACCAGATGGAAAGGGGAAGATTTTAGTATGAAATGGTGATGTTTGTGAGAAATTAGGCCAGCTAGCATGTTAATGACTACTGTCAATGAGCTCTATTAACCAGTTAGGTCTAATGGGTTTTGCATTAGGGAAAATACTTTCATTTATCTCTCAAAGGCTCATTCTCATAGCACTATCAGCATATTATATTATTTTTTTTAAGTCAAGTGATATGAAAATGTAAAACAGTGATAGTTTCTAAACTGATTTTTTTCATTAAAATTTATGTTTTTTAATTAAGTTTTTATTGTGAAAATACTGTACAGAGGGGTTACAGTTACATGAGCAAGGTAATGAGTACATTTCTTATCCAGCATTGTTGCCTCCTTTGTTTTCCCCTACCATCCCTTCCCTCCTGCCTCCTCAGCTACACCCCCACGCCCACCTAAATTGTAAAGTTCATTTTTTGATATAGTGTCTTGTACATCTCATTGTTGAAATGGATCAACCTGTATCCCTATTTAAACAATTTGTTTTCTCCTTTCCTCTCCCCAAATTATACCAACATCAAATACAGTGAAAACAGGGGTTATACAGTGTGAGAGGAACATACAAAGCAACAAAAATATCACATGGTACCTTATAAATATGTTAGAAACAATAGCAAGAAAGAAAAAACCACTTGTGTCCCTATCTTGGGGTTCACATTTCGATTAACATCATCTTATCTGACCTTTCTGCTTGTCCCAGACATATACTAGTTATTGCAAATAAGGGAGTATATTCTTATTGTAATCTTTTTTTCGGTCATGGGGCTTGAACTCTGGTTCTGTCCCTCAGCTCTTCAGCTCGAGAGTGGTGCTCTACCATTTGAGCCACAGCACCACTTCCTGCTTTCTGGTGGTTTACTGGAGATAAGAATCTCAAGCACTTTCCTGCCTGGGCTGGCTTTGAACCTTGATCTTCAGATCTCAGCTTCCTAAGTAGCTAGGATTAGAGTTCAAACCAACAACGCCCAGGTGTAATTCATTATTTTTAATACATATGCAGGAAAACTACTTTAAAATAGAAGAAAGTGGTCAGTAAACAGAAATACTAGTTCTATGATCCTAAGTTCTTGTACAGACATTCCTAGCTTTATCTGTAATCCATAAAGAAAACATAATACAGCCATATTTGATATACCTGAATAGTAGAGTTTATAGACATTTTGGTGGGTCAGCTCATTACACATTCATTACAAATTACTATTACACTCCTTAAGCAGAAAAGATGATATTGATTGATTTAAAGAGAAGCACAAACTTTCTAAACTCCTTGAGGGCATTTAGGTAGGAATATTTACATCTCTGTATTACAGATCTTCCATTCCTCAGAAAGACAAAACTTATTGAATATAACAGTTTACTAAATGTGAAAAGTTGGTGAGGTTATGAGTTATAAAGCTTTAGACCAGATATTTTAATCCACTTCCCATAGATGAGCTTCAGGATGTAGCAATTCCCTTGACAATATATGTAAATACGTGCATCTATCTATCTCTCTCTATATATGTATATACAGTTTTCTGTAGACAATCTATAGTCTTCAAACTCTAAAAAGGACTAAGAATAAAAATCAGCCAAATATTACTGGTATAAATCATATTTTATATTTGGAAATTATTCTTTTCAATTATGCATTAGGATGATAGTTATTCCTATCATTTACACTCAAACCACAATTAAAATTCTTACAATCCTTTTTGTGTCAAAGGGCAAAGAAGATGAGTCATCAGACAGTGATGAAGTGTTTCATTCCATTCAGGCTGAAGTCCAAATAGAACCCATGCAGCCATTTGTTCCAAATCCTAATGAAGTTGAGGTAAACCTCCCAATATGAGTTGCTATGGCATTAATAAAGGCCTTAAGCAGTGGCTCCTAAAATTTTGGCTTCAAGATTTCTTCATAATCTGAAATGTTGAGGACTCAAAAAAGCTTTAGTTTATTATATGCACTGTCATTCAATATTTAACTTATTAAAATTAAAATTCCCAAATGATAAATATTTTAATTCTTTAAAAAGAATTTTAAAAACATATCAATATAAATTTTAATGAAAAGTATCTAGTTTTCAAAAGAAAAGTTTAGAAATACTATCATTGTTTTACATTTTTCAGATCACTTGACTTTATTTTTTTATTTTTTATTGTTTTTTATTGTGAAGATACTGTACAAAGGGGTTACAGTTACATGAGCAAGGTAATGAGTACATTTCTTATCAAGTATTGTTGCCTCCTCCTTTGTTTTTTCCCCTACCATCCTTCCCTCCCACCTCCTCAGCTACACCCCAACTCCCAATCCCCCCCACCCCCACCTAAATTATAAAGTTCATTTTTCGACATAGCGTCTTGTGCATCTCATTGTTGCAATGGGTCAATCTGTATCCCTATTTAAACAATTTGTTTTTTCCCTTCCCCTCTCCAAATATTGCTTAATAGAAAACAGCTGTATTCTCATATCTGCTTCAGCATTCAATCTGTGACCATATGTTGTTTTGGTTGAAGTCTATGAGTAAAAGCTGGTATCTCATATATAAGTAGTTTGAAAGGGAGAATTTGTATGTTTTTCAGAAAATTGTACATGTTCACGAATAATATACCACAAACTAGACAAGTGAAATCTAAAATTACATGGATGAAATTTTGTATAATTAGCCATTATAAAATCTATGAGGCTATCTTGTGTTGTGAATAGATATTTTGATGATGCATGACTTTTAACATCATGCTTTCATTTGTTAGAAAATACTGGTTTAGGTGCATATAGTTCTGTCCAAATGTTTATGTATTTCATTATTTGACATTAAAAAGCCACATTTGCCAATACCACTACCAATTAAAGCTGTCAAGTGCTCAGTGGCATATATGAGTTTAAAATTTTTGATTTTCCTTTGAAAGCTTGAATTTTTATCATTGAGAATGAACAATATATTTAACAGATTTACTTCATTTAAAATAAAGTATCTACCAAGAACCCATAGTTTAAATAGTCAAAGTTTATCATTCTTTAAGTAAAAATACTATTCATGAAAAATGTGGGTAGTTCATTTTTAGAATAATCAGATACATATTTTTCCTAGTTTGTCTATGATCTAGGAGGGTCTTGCTCAGCTAATATGTGGTTTATTATTTTTAAACTTATAGGAACAACTATGTCAAACCTACTGTCAGGGTACATGTCTCTTTTCATGATTACATTAATTTTATCCTATTTAATAAATGTTTTAATGGGGCTAGAATTGTGGGCTTGGTTGTTATGTTAGCATTACCATAGCCAACATTTCTTTTTTCTTTCATTTTATTGTAAGGGTGATGTACAAAGGGGTTACACTTATATAAGTAAGGTAATGAGTACATTTCTTATCGAACAGTGTTACTCCCTCCCTCATTTTCTCCCACTTTCTCTCCCCCCAATTTCCTTCCCTTCAAGTTGTAAAGTTCATTTCAACATAGTGTCTTTGTTGTATTGATTCACCCTTTGTCCTTTGTCTCACCATTTTGTTATTTTCCTGCTCTTCCCCAAATCAGATAACCATATATACAAGACATAGGGTAACAAAATAAAAAACAGTGACAACAGGAGACAAACTAAAGGAAAAACAAGGAAAAAAAGAACTAACTTCATACAGTAATCAAAAACAAAAACAAACAAAAACCCTTTCCATATTTTGGAGTTCATTTTTATTAGCATTATTTTATATCATCATATGTACATTCAGCTATGAGTACAATGAATTTTAAAATAAGAGATTTTGAGAAATCTTTGAGTGATCACGGAGCAACTAGAAACCATAAATCCTGGGACTGAAGATTGTTGGTTAATTCTAGCCATTTACTCAACATTTAAAATTAATTACTATTCTCTGGCCTATAAGTCCTTATCTCAACTGTTCTGGTTAAGATATTTTTCACTGATTCATTCATCTAAGTACATGTTGAGTACCTTCTTCATTCTAGGCTAACAATGCCTGATTTCTGTTCTTATTGCTTATGGATTAAATTTAATATAAAGAGTAAATGTGATGAAACATCTGTCACATAGCTACAGAATCTCCAGAATGTGAAGTGCTGTCATGAATATGGATCGTCAGGTTTTATCTTTTCTGAACTTGTATGCTGAAATAAGGATTCAGGATGACCCATGGTAATAATGAGAGTACAAGACAGTATGTTGAAAACCAACTTTACAACTTTCTGGGGGAGTTAGGGAGGAGGGGAGAGAGGAGCTGGGGAGGTGGGGAAGGAAGGGATGGTAGGGGAAAAGCAATGGAGGGGGTAATAATGCTTGATAGAAAATGGACTCATTATCTTGCTCATGTAATTGTAACTCCTCTGTACAGTGTTACAATAAAAATATATATTAAGGAAAAATAAAAAATATAATAGACAGTAGAGGATGTACATTTGCAGTGTTAGCAAAGTATTTAAAAGCATGGCCCAAAATTAGTACATGAATATGTGACTCAATCTTTGCTTAATATCTTAATATCTTTAGAAAACATTCCGAGGAGTGCATTTGTAAAGTGTCAAAGATATGCAAATTTTTCAACAGAATCATATCAATATGTTTCATTGGATTATTTTTAAGCCTTTACAATATGTTTCATAAGTGAAGCATTGAGAATCTGTGAAATGTGTACACTTTCAAGAATCTGCTGTGTATGGATGTCTGTTGTATCCATGTACCCCAGGCCTATCATTTGACATTATTCCACAGTTGTTGATGATAAATGTCAGCATGCCATGATTTGCACGACAGTTATTTTGCACATGTTTCTAGCCAGCATTTCTCACAGCCAACCATTTAAAAATTTTAGTTACTAAGATATATTAGTTGAATGAGTACATGAATTAAGAACACTAGCTCTTGCTTTACTGATGGTAGGTCAGAAGCCCTAATGTTGTACTTAGTCAGTACAAGTTATTAAGTAGCATAAAATGTTTCTGAGGCTACTATGAAGTCTTTCAGATAATTATTTTAAAATACAGTTTTCCCTTGATACTAACAGTCATCTGCAGTAAGTAACTAAACATATTGCTTTATAAATACTAGCCATTTGCAGGATCATAAATTAGACTGCATTATTTAATGAGAGGAAGCATCTCCACTGTAGTAAATAACGGTACTTGCAGGCAATAATTCTTACCTTAAGCATCACACTGTAATCAGGAAATGTAAGGTGCTGTATTTGGCTTGGAACTCATTATATCTCCTAGTATATTACTAATTGTTTCCCTTTTCCCTTTCTATGCTTTATCTTCGCTAGTTGTCCTCAGTGCCAATTCTTCTTGATTTTGGACTGTTTTATTATTGTTGATAAACTCTTCAGCAGGAGATCTTTAATAGTGCATACCTTTAATGGTACCATACTCAGCTATTTGGGGTCAAAGGCAGGAATATCACTTGAGCCCAGGAGTTCAAGGCCAGTCTAGGCAAAATAACAAGACCACATCTCTGAATAAAATAAAATAAATAAATCTTCCTGAAAGCACTTCCATAAATTGAGCACTTTACACTGGGTCGATGTGATGCCAGTTATCTGATTTAAAAGTAGAAAAAATTAGTCAGGTACATACTACCAAACAACTGGTTCTATTTAGAAACACTTGTTAGCAGAACATGTGAACATTGACAGTGTTTTTCATTTCTCAACAGTCTATCAGTAGTATGAAACAACCTGGATAAGCCATTTTGTCAAGAAAATAGTTATTAGAACCAGTACAGTTTGTAGAAACTATAGAGTAATTTTATCAGTATGAGAATTCTATATTTAAAAAATTATATCATTAAATTTCCTTTCTTTTTTTTTTTTTGTTATTTTTGTTGTGTCCATATGTTTTCTATATTTCCTTTCTAACAAATCTTGTTCTCAATGAATATCACAATGCCCTTTTTTTTTTTTTTTTTTGGGTCCGGTCGTGGGGCCTGAACTCTGGGCCTGGGCGCTGTCCCTCAGCTCTTCAGCTCAAGGCTAGCGCTCTACCACTTGAGCCACAACGCCACTTCCTGCTTTTTTCTTTTTGCTTATGTGGTGCTAAGGAATCGAACCCAGGGCCTCAGGCATGCAAGGCAAGCACTCTACCACTGAGCCATCTTTCCAGCCCTACAATGCCCATTTTTTAAGTAACCAGCATACTGTGAGTAGAAATCTAGGGATTCAAAACTACATGAGCAAGACAAAAATACAAATGTGAACAGAAACAGTTTTCCCCATTGATAAAGCTGACTCATTTTATGTGATATTTGTTGAGTGTTCTGTTGTAGTTGATACATGTATTATTAGAAAAACCCAAATTCTCTTATGGAATTGTAACCCCTTTGTACAGCTACATAGCAACAACAACAACAACAACAGTAATAATAATAAGAAAAAATCCAAAGTCCTTTGAGGCAGCAGGTCTTTGGAACACTGATTATAACAGTACAAATTGCAAACAAAAACTCACCTTTCTTTGACATGGGATATTTAGAGTATTGAGATTTTAATGATGTGTATGTGTTTATGACTACCTTTTAAAACCTAGAGTTGTCTTAAATATGTGATTAACATATAAAGGACAAACCAATGCAGCAGTGACACTCACAAGAGATGGAAATGAACTTTACAACTTGTGGAGGGAGGGGACTGGAGGGATGAAAAGTGGGAGAAAAATGAGGGAGGGGGTAACAATGTTCGACAAGAAATATACTTATTGCCTTACATATGTAACTAACCCCTCTGCACATTGACAATAAATTAAATTTAAAAAACAAAAAATATATTTAGCTTAAATCCTTAAATATTGAGTTCATTCTATTTTAGATCTTCTTTTGACTTTAGGTTGGAGACATGGCCTAAGTGGTAGAGCACTTTCCGAGATGTTCCTTTGTGTTGGTATAAAATTACTATAAAAGTCACTTTTATTACTAGAACTCCAATTTTTCAACAATACCATGGTTATATGATCTGAAGAATTTGTTCCTGTGCTAAAATTCAAATAAGTCATCAAAGGTTACATTACACAGTTCTAATATATTAAAAGTAACTATGAAAATAGGACATACTTAAAAATTCTATGATGCATATTTAAGAAAGTATAAATGAAGGCATTTCTAATCAATTAAGATCGAGATTTTTTTCTACCACAGTATTAAATTGTGTCTTTAAGGTCCAAGAGAGATCTTCTTCTATGCGTAACAACCACAATCATACACAGCGTGTGAAGTTCTCCTCAAGGTATGTATCTCTTGATTTCTGTTTACAAATTACTAGAGCTAATCACATGGAAAATGAAACTTTGTCCCTTTGACACAAATTTTTCTGTGAAGTTCAAGTTAGTTTTAATGGCAGAATAACCATCGGCATGATTGGTCCACATTTAACACCTTATGTGCAGCTGGGTGCTGGTGGCTCACACCTGTAATCCTAATGACTCAAGAGGCTAAGATCTGAGGATCACGGTTCAAAGCCAGACCTGGCAGGAAAGCCCGTGAAACTCTTTTTTTTTTTTTTTGCCAGTCATGGGGCCTGAACTCTGGGCCTGGGCGCTGTCCCTCAGCTCTTCACCTCAAGGCTAGTGCTCTACCACTTGAGCCACAGCACCACTTCTGGCTTTTTTCTTTTTGCTTATGTGGTGCTGAGGAATTTTCTGCTTATGTGATGCTGAGAAACCCAACCCAAGGCCTCATGCATGCGAGGCAAGCACTCTACCACTGAGCCACCTTCCCAGCCCAATCCGTGAAACTCTTATCGCCAGTAAACTACCAGAAAACTGGAAGTGACCTTGTGCCTCAAGCCTTGAGTGCTACTAGCCTTGAGCTAACTTATATTCAATGATTCAGTATCTAGAACTTTTGCTATTGCAATTTCCATGTCATTCAATTTGATAATTAGCAGCAAAACCTACATATAAAAGAATGAATCAATAATGATAAATTATTTGACAGTATCTTATAATTAATTGGTAATAAAAAGACTCACAGTTCGTCACTATATTTTACACTTACTATATTATAATACAAACACAAAGACACACACACACACATTTGCTACACTGCAGAAGCTAATGCTACAGAATTGGCAAGTCTTCTATTGACAAGTGTTCTATAGTTAAAATGAGATCTAAGACTCCATACTTGAACCATAAAAAAGCATATGAAATATTTACCTCAAACTATTTTTATCTTTATATTATCTGTAATCTTCAATGGTTTTCAAAAGTCATGCTCCATATTTTAGATGTTACGTGACAGTTTTTCTATTTGAGAGCCTAATTTTCAAGTAGGCTCTTTGAAAATTATACCCCCTCTTATTACAGCCCCCCAGTGGAGAGAATTTAAATTATATTCATTCAGCCGCTCAGTAAATATTTCTTTGTACTCCCTAGATTCAAGATACTGGACATTATGGTCACAGTATTGAGAGTTGATGTTTATGTAATAATGTAAATTTCTACCTTGTTATTTTTAAAGTCCATGTATTCATATATTTAAACTAAACTGATGCAGAGAAATCTTGAAAAATTAGAAAACAAGACTGTGGACTGTTATTTTACTCTGCATTATCAATAAATGGGTTCACATTGGGCTCCTAACCTGAAATGGAGGTTTTTGAATAAATTTTTCTAGTAACATGAAACATAACTTTAGTAAAATCAATATATAAAAATTCAGTTTAATGTTAAATGTGGAATGATTATTCACTTGACAAAAGGACTTTTAATTTATGAATAATGTGTTGCCTTTAAATATGTTAAAGTAGGGTCAAATTTATAAAATTTATGGAACAAAATTTTCTGAAAGTTTAGGCCATAGAAAAGTCTTCTGTCTATTCCAATCTTAAATTAATGACTAAGTCCTAGCATGTTGAAAACCAAAGGGAGTACAGAAAATAGCAATACTATTTTTTATTTGAACTGTGTGTCCTTTCTGTCTACGTATGTATTTAAATCAGTAGTGATATATTATAAAATATGAGCTCCAGGATAATTAATATCAGGCTAATAATAGAATTTTAATCGTTAAAATATTTATATATATTAGAAGCTTCTGGGTTTCATTGTGTTACCTAAGTAACAATATTGTATGACTATTACATTTAAGAAAATTTATACAAGTCTTAAACATTAACCTAATATTTAGGCTAAATACTTTGTAATATAAATTTAGATTGAAAATTTTATAACCTAATATATTTTAAAATTTCTATATTGGAGGGTTTTTTTCTGTGTTCCAGATAAAATGGGAGGTTTGGACAAAAATGTAAATTGGAAAGTGGTTCTTAAGCTCTACTTCTTTTGGGGGTGATATGTATTCATGTATTTAAGAAAAACCTTTTTATCCATTGTGTTGAGATGTACATGCTTCTTGTGAATGTTAGACGTCTAGACATGCTTTTCTGTCTTTTTGTTAGTGTTCCTCAGCAGTCTCTTTTGGAACAAGCTCAGAAGCCCATTGACATCAGACAAAATCCTGAGAATTGTCCTGAAGCATCAGGTGATTCAAAGAATACACAGTCTACATATAGCCAGTGTTTAATGGTTTCTATTTCAAAAGTCAAGAAAAAAAATAATTTCAAAAAGAAATGAATAAAAATACGTAAGGGAGATCAAATGATATTCAGGACCCAAAATCCATCACATTTGGCAATTGGGTAGTCAGAGCTGCAGTTGGAGGAATAGTTCAATTGGTAGAGCTCTAGCCAATGAGCAAAGTATCAGGGACTGAGCTCCAGTTACATTCTTAGACCAAAAAAAAGTTTCTTCTTCCAGTTGAGTCAACTGAGGATTAGTTAGGAGTATGTCTAAGGAGCTAGAAGAGCCACCTTTATTTTTGTTTCTATACCAGATAAGAAAAATATGTGAAAGGAGCTTGAGACATTCTTCTCTAACAGGATGAAATTTATAGCAAAATAAGAATATTGGACAGAGTAGTTGTGAGACTGTTTCACTTGTCAGTTTATTCCTTCTCAAAATACAATGTACACAGAAATGTGCACATTTCAGAAATGTCTGAAACTTTACACATTTTACTCAGAATACATGAAAAATTAATTGAATCATGAAAATATTTTCATAAATTCTGATAAATTTTGATTCATGTGTTTTAAGATGTGCTTTTGAGAGACTCTAAATATAGACTTGTAAAACAAAAGTTGTGCCATGAATCATAAAATCCTGTATTACACAATTTTAAGCAATGCAGGTAATGATCAAAGGGAAAATATCTGATCAAGTCTTCAAGTCATCTGTAGAAATGTAGCATACATGAGCATATATGCTTAGGTGCAGGTAGATGATGCCTGTAATTCTAGCTAATCAGGTGGCTGAGATCTGAAGACCATGGTTCAAAGCCAGCCAGAGTAGGAAAGTCTGTTGGAATCTCCAATCAACCACCAAAAGTAGGAAGTGGAGTTGTAGTTCTAGTGGTAGAGCATTAGCCTTGAGCCCAAAAGCTCAGGGACTACACCCAGGCACCAATTTCATACCCCAGGACTAGCATAAAAACATGTAGCATACAGATTTTATTAAAATGTTTAGAAAAATTCTAAAACCCTTATTCTTCAGGTTAGGGGACTTATATAATTAAGGAAGTATTTAAATAGTATTGTAATATCATGTAAAAATACCAGGCTACTAAGAAGTAAAATAACCCTCAGTGGTAAGTAATTTTAGGAATTATTTTTCGAAGAATTTGTGCTTTCTGCTTCAACTAGGGATAATTTTCAACTAGAGCTAATTTTAGTAATACTGGACAAATAAGTAAAATATTTAAGTTCTATTCATGTTACATTTATAAAATAAAGAAATCTGGATTAGGCTTCAAAATAGTCATGGAGATTAATAGGAGGAATCAGGGGATAACAACTGCACTCAGGTCTGAAATTCTGTTATATTAGTGTGCTTATTTACTACATTGACCATTTGATAGTCCCATGAGAGGACATCATCTGAGCACAAATTTGCCATAGAATTGCAAGACACTCATTCAATATTTTTAATAGCCCACTTCCACAGTAGTGATATATTATAAAATATGAGCTCCAGGTTAATTAATATCAGGATAATAATAGAATTTTAATTGTTAAAATATTTATATATATTAGAAGCTTCTTGAAAATGGTTTCCTATAAAAATAATAAATGGAAAATTACAACATTACCAGAAGAAGGAGGTACACATTTTAGAATGATATATTGTCCTCTAATGTCATGAGTGTTTTCAAAGACATGCTTTTTGGACGTGTAGTGTCCAATCTGGATAAATTTGTAATTTACATGGAAATATTTACAACATGGCATTGATCTGTCCACTGTGATATTACATAGCCATATGTTGCTATTAAAATGAAAGATCAAAAAAAAACTATCTCACTTTTAAAATTCCATTTCTCAGGTATATAGATCACATTCCAAATGCTCAGTAGTCATGAGTGGCTACTGTGTGGGAGAGTGTGTATATGGATCATTTCCATCATTGCAGAACTTTCTAGCATATAGCACTGGTTAGGAAGAGTCTACCTTTCCTAAGTTATGTCTCTTTCCAGTAGTTCATTCCTTAAATCGTTAAGAATACATCATTGGGTGAAAATAAGGGACATTTAAAATTACGGAGTCAATAATTTAGAACGTTGACTCATTCTTAATCTTCTTATCTATTGTTAGAACATTTTCTTACTTGTTATTATATGAGACCACTGATCCTCGCAACTCTTCCTGTTTTTAATACACTCTTGTAAAGGTGAATCTATCTAGCAACCAGTCTTAATGTGTGCCATCTTAAACTACAGGTAGAAAGAATTATTTAGCAAGTGTATATTAAATATTGAAAGCAAAAGTCATATAGGTCTACAGATTGAACAAACTTTGAACTTGCTACTGTCTGTGAAAATACAAGTTAATTTCTGTATCAGATGGTGTTTCCTGAATAGAAGCAATTCAGTTCCACTTGTAGCATTTGTGAAAAGACTATAAGAAAAACAACTGGGGATTGAATTGGTACACTAAATGAATGAACGCAATCTCTGTTAATTATCAGTTACTAATGCATTTTTTTATGTTCCATAGAATCTTCTTCTGAAGAGGAGAGTCCCAGGGTTGTGAGGAGGTCCCAGTCATCACCTCCTTATTCTACTATTGATCAAAGCTTGCTGATTGATGTCCATGTAGGTTTCCATCTTCAGACATTCATGTCTCTTTTTTTTAACTTTCAATTCTTTGTTTTTAATTAGATTCTTATTTTTAAAGTAATTGTATAAAGGAGTTACCATTCAACAAATCAGTTTATCAGCATAATGCATCTTGATCTACCTACATCTTCTCATCTTTACTTGAAGGGAAAGTTGAATTTTTTAGCTTAGTTACTTATCTTTATAAAATAAATTCCCATTGCTATGTGGGCCTCCAGAATTGAAAATTTGAAACATGTTTTGAGGGTTTTTTTATAATTTTAGCAAGTATTTATTATAGTATAATACAGTTAAAATTGGGACAAATAGAAAGTGAGAGACCAACTTCTTGTTCCCACAGGAAGTGGGAGGTAAAAAGTAGTTAAAGAGTCCTAGGAGTTTGAAGTGGGAAAAACTTTAATGGATCACACAGATTCTATTTTCACATCTTTGTGTTGGAACATATGGGAGAGAGGAGTGCTAAAGAGGTAATTGGGGAAGCTGATCACAGATTAAGGGGTAAAAGTTAGATACTCATTTTTTGCCCAATAGCATTCCTTATGTGATAAGACAATGTATAAAAATAAAATACTTGGTTGCTTCTTATAGCAAGATAAAAAGTCTTGTAACTCCTTGTACTGTTCTTTCAGAAAGGTGTATTTCATATTTTTGTTTATTCCTATCCTACCCATAAACTACAATATGGTATGTACCATACATAAGAGGTGGATTTATAGTAATTTGTTTTATAAGGGTTTGAGATACTTTACTAACCTATGGGTTATAAAGCAGAGCCATGGAAATGAACCTATCAGCTTCAAGTATACCCTATTGGATAAAACAACATCATCAAATCCCCTATTCTACTTTCCAGAATCAAATCAAATGTCTACTCTTTAGAAGACAAGGAATGGTAATAAACAAAAACTGTGTTAAATTTTTACTGTGGGATCTAGAACGTTCACTAATAATCACATCCTCATATTCAGGTTTTTACATCTCATCCTAACTCGATTTTTGGCTCTATCTAGTGAATGGATATCTTTGTTTCAACTGTGAATATATTTATAATTGTCATCTTGGAATCTTCCCCATTTCAGAAGAAAATGAAAGGCTACTAGATACTACATTAACCTTTCTTGTGCACACAGGTTCCAGATGGATTTAAAGTAGGAAAAATATCACCCCCAGTATATTTAACAAATGAATGGGTGGGCTATAATGCACTCTCTGAAATCTTCCGGAATGATTGGTTAATTCCGGCACCTATCGTTCAGCCACCTGAAGAGGATGGTGATTATGTTGAACTCTATGATGCTGGTGCTGATACTGATGGTGATACTGAATCTAATGCATATAGACATACCTATGACCATGCCAATGAAAATGCTGGCTTGGATAACCACTTTGAGCAGGCAAAGTATGTTTGTGAAGACCACAATAATGCTGATGGCAATGAGGAGTCTGTTGATGATGTACGTGGTAATCATGATGGTGCTTCTAACTGGCCAAGGTTGGTTTATCTTTCTATTTATAATACTCATGTGTTATAATTGCAGTACTATTTTAAGCTTGGTTTATTTTTAAAATGTATTAAGAAGGTGACTGAATTATACTTGTGCATTTTGATCTTCAATGACATATAATATATTTAAGTTGTTCAAATGGAACACTGCATCTAACAGTTCAAATACCATTTTAGTAGATTAAAGGTAAAGTATTCAAGTTGAGATATGTGTATATATGTACATAAATCTATATATGTACAGTATTATCTATATGCAAATATATAGAGAGATAATATATTTAATATTATCTTTAGCTGATGGATCTTTTGAATTTTTCCTTATCTATCATGAATCAATTCATTGTCACACCAACTTACTTTTTGTATTAAAAGATCCATGCTTCCCTATGACCCAGCAGTCCCACTTTTGGGCATTTACCCAAATGATCACAAACAAGACCATACTAAAGCTACCAGCACAACTATGTTTATTGCAGCATTATTTACCATAGCTAAGATATGGAACCAACCCAGATGCCCCTCAGTAGATGAATGGATCAAGAAAATGTGGTCCATATACACAATGGAATTCTATGCCTCCATCAGAAAGAATGACATTGCCCCATTTGTTAGGAAGTGGAAAGACTTGGAAAAAAAAATTTATTAAGTGAAGTAAGCCAGGCCCAAAGAAACATAGGTCCCATGGTTTCCCTTATTCGCAATACCTAGTATATGTCTGAGACAAGCAGAAATGGTCAGACAAGTTGATGTTAGGTGAAATGATCCCTAAGATAAGGACTCAAAATGTTTTTCTTTCTTGCTATTATTTCTAACATAGTTATAAGATGATTTCTTTGTTGCTTTGTATGTCCCTCCCCCACAGTATAACCCCTGTTTTCACTGTATTTGATGTTGGTATAATTTGGGGAGGGGAAGGGAAAAAAACAAATTGTTTAAATAGGGATTCAGGTGGACCCATTGCAACAATGAGATGTACAAATTGTTATGTTGAAAAACAAACTTTACAACTTTTGGGGAGGAATGGGAGGGCAGGAATGGTAAGGGGAAACAAAAGAGGTGGCAACAATGTTTGATAAGAAGTGTACTCATTACCTTGCTCATGTAATTGTAACCCCTCTGTACGGTATTTTCATAATAAAAAACTTATTAATTAAAAAACATAGATTTAATAATCCCTCTTATTCAATAAGAGAACATTAAAACATTTTAAGCCTTCTGTTCTTAAAAAACAAATCAGGTGACCTATACATTTTCTTGAGTGGACTTATTAATTTTATCTTGTTATCTGGACAAGATATAGAAGAGATGGAAGCTACAAACAAGTTGGTAATAATGGAAAAGAAGGAGCTGGCAGAGGCTATGGAAATGATAAAGCCAGGAGCGGCTATGGAAGAAGTGCTGTAGGTGGAGCCAGTGCAGCTTTTGGAGATCCAGAAGAATATGGAGCCAATACAGGCAGTGGAACACGTGGCAGGAATAATGGTGATATGGCAGTCGGTGGAATCAGTGCAGAGAATGGAGCATGTGGATTCAGTGAAGGAGAAAATTACTCAGCAATAGATGGACTGGGACTAGAGAGACATGTCTTCCAGGACGTGGAACCTGAACTAGAGGTAATGCACCATTTGGAAAGGAAAATCATCTCTTCTCATTGCAAATGTGTTTCTTCACTTGACAGGTAGAATTTTAACTATTTCAAAAGGATTTTACCTTCTATCCCAAGGCTTAAATATCTTTATTGTGTGACTAGACCTTATCGCCATCAAATTTGGTTAGTTACTATTTACTATTAGGTACAAAAATCCCTTGTTTGCTTATTTTGTTCAAGTTACATGTTTTAGAAAGTGTCTTTAACACATACAACTTTTGTGTTGAATAGCATTGTTTCTATGGCAAATGTATATAACAAAATTTTAACCAGATCAATGGCATTTTTAGTATATTTACTTCTGTCCTGTGATGGCACACTTGGTGTGATTCTCTAGCCTAGGATTGTTCACTGGAACACTAAAACTGATTTCTATGCCAGAGCTTGTTTAGCCTCCAGCTTCTCCTCCACCATCTTCCTCCCCATCACTAGTCTTTCTGTTACTTTAAAAAATGTCTTCACAAACAATCTCTTGTTCTTCACCTGCCCCCTAGTAACCAGTATTCTAGTTTCTAACTATGTAGTTTCATGCACTATTTGGCTTATTTTACTTGGCATAATACTTTCAATGTTCATCAGGGCATAGCATGTATGGCTTTCATCCCTTTTAAAGACTGAATAAAATTCCACCGTATGTCTATACCATATTTCATTGAGTTTCTATGAACATTAGTATATCTTTTAGAGTCTGAATTTCTTTTAGGGTATATACCTAGGAGTAAAATTGCTAGATCATATACTTAATCTATGTTTAGATTTTTTGGGAACTGACAACATATGATTTACTTTTACAGTGCTACATATGGAACCCAGTGTCCTTAGCACACTTAGCAAACATTGTATCACTGAACCACATCCCTAGTCTGGGTACATACATTTTTAAAGTGATGTCTTATGTTCAGATAATGATTTTCCAGTTCATAAGACATTTATTACTTGATAGATAAGAAGATTTTAAATACTTGAGCAGCTTCACAGATACTAAATGAACAGGAATTATCACTGAAATTTCCTGGAACACATGATATTTAGACTTATTATTGAAAAATGAAGATTATGTATCTGAAAATTCAAATAGAAAATGCAAAAGTCATTGTGTCAGTCAGTTTACTTTCCTGGCTTACTGGTCTATCTCACAAACTGGCTTTCAAGATGCCAGTCCTCTTTATCTCTTCTCTACTTGGTGAACTGCATGACATTCCAACCCAAGCACTGCCTTTCTCTTGGCCTGGTGAAATTATATATCCCTCTTTCTGTGCTTACAAACCTATTGAACATCATTGCTTTTTATTCTTATGACATTGTAGTTTACTTATTTGTTGTGTATTTTCTGTTACATACACTTTTGAATTCTTAAAAGGAAGTATATCTAATTCATTCTCAACTAATACTATTATTATTATTACCCCCAATCTTGGAGTAAAACTTAGGGCTTAGCCAGTGACAGGCACATAATAATTATGGGAGAAATCAATGAAAATAGAAAATAGAAGCTTTGAAATTATTTTTCAAGTGACTGTTTGGTATTACATACTTGTGTAGACTCTGAAATCAGACTAGTTTTCAACTCTAGTTCTCTATTTTTAATGAATACTGACCAAGAAAATATTTTCTAAGTGCTATAAACATTAGTTTGCTTATAATTAAATAGCAGACAACTACATTTATTTGTTGTATATGGTAAAAATTCATGAAAATATGTATATAAGATTCCTAGTACAGTACCTGGTACATTTGCACAAATCATAAGACTGTACAGATAAGGACTTAAACTTACTTATATATTTCTCCTTTGACAACAGTTGTCCCATTAATAGGTCCTATATCTCTCTTTTAATGATAGTTTTAAATAATTTTTAGTAAATGTGGATTTTGTACAGAAGTGATTCCTAGGAATATTTCTCCTGCTGTTAACTTACTTAAACTTTAAAAAAAAAATGGTTTTGGTCTCCTGTAGGAATTGAATGGTGAAAGTGATGCCTCAAATTCCATCGCCTCTGATATTACACCCCCAGGATTTGATGAAGAAATTGACATATCAGTATCATCAACCTCATTGGGATTTTCTCCCGCCCACTCATCTCCTTCCAAAGATTCTGAGAGGACTACTGATGCTGACTGTGACAGTGCCATCTGTAAGTATGTCTAGTATAGTCTTTTAATGTGGCTTCCTGTTCACATATAAATAGTATTCAGATACTTATTTATAGCATGCAAGGAATCAAAATACTCCAATATTCAGTTGATATGAACTCATGTTTATGTATGATTTTTTTCAAAAAAATTCTCACTGAATTATTATGGTGCCTAAATTTGAGCTACAGTTGACAGTTGGATTTTGTTTTACATTCTATCAATATAAAATATATTCATATACCATAAGGGGAAGAACATACAAAAGAAAAATATCACATAGTATGTTAAAAACAACAACAAAGAAAAACCTCTTGTCTTGGAGTTCATTTGATTTTGGTACCCTAGTATTGTGTATACGTTTATTTGAATTAGGGAAGGGAAGGGGAACAACAGAATGGTGAGACAAAGGACAAGGTGGAAACCAACACAACAGCAATATACACAAGGAAATATGTTGGAAATGATCTTGGAAATGATCTGTACAGCTTAGCGGGGGGTGATTGGGAAAAAGGAAAGGAGGAGAACATTGAGGGAATGTTTAACAAGGTTGACAAGAAATGTACTTATTACCTTACTTATGTAACTGAAACCCCTCTATACATCACCTTGACAATAAAAAAATATTTTGAGTATATAGATAAAAAAATCAAATAATTTACAAAAAAAAGCCAATTACCAAATATCAAAAATATGTATTCATGACTGTGTCTGGAGGCTCACACTAGTAATCCTAGCTACTCAGTAGGTAAGAATTGAGGATACAGTTTCTGAGCTAACCCACAAGAGAATCCCAGAGACTTTGACCTCCAATTAACCAATAAAAAGCTAGGAGAGTCCTAACTCAAGTGGTGGAGTACCTGCCTTGAACAAAAACAGTAAGCCAGAGCTCAAGGCCTTGCTCTTAAACCCTAGTACCCATACAAAGGAATTTATATTCAACAATATATTTTGACATCATGATTTATATTGTCTGATGATTTAAGAATTACTAAAATGATACTTCCAGTACAAAATAATATGCAATAAAAGGACAAAAACTTCTAGGTTATATCTCATATATTGAAATAATGAAGCAAGTTTGGGGTATAGACTAGTAACTTTCTTTCAATATCTTCTCCTTCACAGTATATGCTGGATTTGTTGAAGTACCTGAGAAATTACCTATGCTACCCTCTGAAGTCAATGTTAACCCATTCTATGTCTCTCCTCCATCTAAAAAACCACTTATCCACATGTATGAAAAGGAATTTACTTCTGAAATCTGCTGTGGTTCTTTATGGGGTGAGTTTATGTAATTTAAAAAATCAGAACTGTGACAAGGAATGTGCTCACTACCTTATATAACTGTAATCCCTCTATACATCACCTTGACAATAAAATTAAAATAATTTAAAAAAATCAGAACTGATCTTTGATAACACCCATCTTTTCATACTTTTTTCATTATAACCTGAATTAACATGGCTAAATTTTAAAATTGGTCTGAGCTATCTGAAATCTAAGCTTACTCTGTTCTAGTTTAACTGTGATTCTTAATGAGGAATTAAAAGAAAGTTTTCTGCAAGATCTTGTATTTAAACATTCATGAAGAATTAGAGAAAATTCCTCATAAAATGTCTTATGTTTGCCCAACTTTTCAATCCATTGTTTCAGAAGGATTCTGACAATATTGATAGTTTTGAGAATGGCTTTCTTCAGCCAGATTGCATCATAAAGGAAACAAAATAACTGAAAGCAAGGATGGGAGAAATGTAAAGTAAATGCCAAAATCCCACTTGCAAGCTTGTAGTTTTTACTTAACCTAATATTGAAGATAAGACAAGGTTTTAAATTAAAAGTAAATCTGGATAACAAACATAATTATATGGACTGAACAACTTAGAAAAACTTTGATAAATAAGTGTACCAGGCAAGAAAGAATGGACCTTTCTGTCTAGTATCTTATGCAGGAATATAGTTTATGTATAGCAACTCATAACATTTATTTTATATTTTGAAAAATAAAAGATTATAGAAATAGCGAACTATAGTGTCTTGGCCTTCTTTTGATTTCCCCATGAGATGAAGATGAAGTTTCTAAATGTGCCTTGACTATTAATACCTGGCAAAGGATAGAGCATAATGTAAAACTTTTTAAATCTCCATGAACATACAGCTACCAATTTTAAAAATTATGGGAGAGAATAATGAAAAGGGTGACACTGATCATTATAATAATAAAATTTATAATATTATAAACTGCTTTATTGAATAGCAACTCCCTTGTACAACTATTTAAAGACAATAGAAATAATTATTTCCATATAAACATTCAAAAAGTAATAAAACCTTTAGTCTTAATTAAAAATGAGAAGTGGATTGAATGAAGTGAATTGAACTCCTTATATTCACTATACTAGAATGTAGAAAAGTAGTTTCCAAAAGTGAATAACTTCTTTAAAACTTGGGACTACTGGGACTGGGAAGATGACTCAGTGTTAGAGTGCTTGCCTTGCATGCATGAGGCCCTGGGTTCGATTCCTCACCACCACATAAGCAGAAAAAAGCGGGAGGTGGCACTGTGGCTCAAGTGGTAGGGCGCTAGCCTTGAACTGAAGACCTGAGGGACAGAGCCCAGGCCCAGAGTTCAGCCCCCACGACTGACAAAAAGAAAAATTTGGGGACAACTGTAAGCAGTGCTAAAAGTTATACAAAACTCTGTCTGTGAGATGGCACACTGAACAGTAAGAGACCATTGCTTAAAAGCATTTTTATATATCTTTTCATGCATGTGAATGAACTTTGTCCTATTAGTAGAAAGAACATAGTTACAATATGTGAGGTTCAATACTATACTAAAATGGTAAGTTACCTTTACATATACTAGCATAGTTCAATAGAAAAGATAGTAATATAAACACATAAAAAATCAACACAAGAATAGATGAAGAAAATGTGTAATATATACACAATGCAGAATGATTTAGCCATAAAGAAGAATGAAATCACGTCATTTACAATAAAATGGATGGAACTACAGATTGAAATAAGCTAGACTTAGACAAATGTAGACATGCAGATTCTGTATGTTTAAAAGGCTTGAAAGTAGAAGTTTTTTGGAAGAACAAGTGGTTCTTTGAAAGAGGAAGGGATTTGGGGGTGAGAAAAAGTAGAGGATAAGAGATGATGGGGTGAATATCAAAATACATTATATCTATCTATCTATCTATCTATCTATCTATCTATCTATCTATCTATCTATAAGAGAATGTCACATGAATCCCATTAATTGAATTAGTATCTGTTAATAAAATAATCTGAGATAATATTGTACTTTTCTATTTTATATCTAAACAGGAGTCAATTTGCTGCTGGGGACTCGCTCTAATCTGTATCTGATGGACAGAAGTGGAAAAGCAGATATTACTAAACTTATAAAGCGAAGACCCTTTCGCCAGATTCAAGTTGTAGAGCCACTCAACTTGCTGATTACCATCTCTGGTTTGTTTAAAAGCTAAAAATATCTGAATAGCTTTGTAGATTAATTAGACTGCAAACTGGGTTAAAAACTTTTTCCAGTAAAAGTGTTCCAAAAAGCATATAAATATAACCTTTAATTGGGTCACCAGACTCTCCTGGTATTTTCTTACCTATTTACAGTTTAACCTAACTTCATTTCATTGTAATGCACTTTGCATAGGTTAGTGAAAACAACGCTATTTATATACTTAAAGGTTTCTTTCAGAGTAACCTACAAATCCACATCTTATTCTCATCACTTATTCACAAAGAATCTCACCAATACCTACCATCTGCTTCCCTAGTGATGTTTTAGGTATAATAAAAAATAGAAAAAGTGGACAAATAATTGTGTGAAAGGAGACTTGTCTCTTGCACAGCCTTATTACAAGAACCTACAAGTTAATTATAAGAATGGATCCCTTAAAGTCCTCTATACTTTTCCCACACCATAGTTATATTTCTCGTTTAATATGTCAAAGCCTGAACTTTTGTGAGAAAGTAGATGATATAGTGATTGTGATTATGAAACGATATGGTATCAGAAAAGCATTAGCATTGTTTATTGTGGCTATTTGTAGGTCACAGGCTAGTAAAAGAATTTACCAAGACAGGATAATAGGAAAAAACAAAGGTTAATTGACATGCTAGGTGAAGACAGAGGGTAGTTAACCAGCCAGAGGCACAGCAGAGAGCAGATAGGGTCAGAAGTAGGGTCTATGTCTTTGGTTAGGTTACTTTGGATTTGGTATTTCTTGCTTTCTTGGAATCTTTGATTGATTGTCTCTTTCTCACTCCATAGTTTCAATATCTTGAGCTCTGAAACAGTGTAAGCCATTCCTGATCATATACACAGTTCCATCTAACTCATTTCCTGGCCTTGACTTATTTCTACATTCTACCTGGACTTTGATACTTCTCTATCAACCATGTTACCTTAAATGTTACCTTAAACAGGGTTTCCTTCATTGCAATGCTGAATATAGACCAAAGATAAGTGGCCTTTGAAAAACTAAAAATTTAGTGGGGCATAGTGGCTCATGCCTGTAATCCCAGCTATGCAGAAAGCGTAAGTACATGGATAGCAATCCAAGGCCAGCTCTGAGCAAAAATGTGAGATCTTATCTGAAAAATAGCTATAGCAAAAAGAACTGTGAATGTGGCTCAAGTAGTAGAGCATTTGCCTAGCCAGTACTGCCATAAAAGTAAAAAAAAAAAGTGAAAAGAAGTTGGAAACAGATTAAGTTATCCTAACCACAGTTATATATGTTCATATATATGTATATATACAAATACATATGTATATATAATACATATGTATTTGTATACATATGTATTATATATACATATGTATTTGTATGCAAAGTGTAAATGTTATCATGTTGTATATGGGTTATTTATATTCTTAAATATGTTTAGCTATAAGATATTTTGTGTTGGTTTTTGTTTGCAAGTTTTAGCAAGTTTTATTTTAGTACTGCAGGATGAACGTAGAGAGAAATTGAAGAGAGAAAGATGTTCCCCATGAAAGGAATGGAAGTTCAAGACTACTTTTAAGCTTCAATTATAAGAGAAAATACTTCATAGGAATATTCAGACTGTATTATTTTGCCTATGTTTCATGCTCATTCACTTAATAATTATTTGAGGTCTAAAGATGCAATTTAAGCAATGTTTAGTGTTTTAAAAAAACATCAAGACAACAGATTTCTTAACTTTTTATCCAATTTGCCCTAGTCTAATTGTGTCCTTTTTAAATTCTTTAGTTTCTATCGAATATAAATTACTTTTACATGAAATAACACTAAAATGTCAGTATAGGAAGATACATAATAGTTTTGCCATTTAAAAATAACACAGCTCAACTAGTAGACCACTTGCCTAAGCACATAAAAATTTCTGGGTTCAATCCTCAGTAGCAAAATACATTAGAAACCTGGAGTTGTGGCTCAAGTGGTAGAATGTCTTCCAAGAAAGCAAAAGGCCATGAGCTCAACCCCAAAAACAACAAAAGAAAGTAAATGGCCATAAAATAGATGTCTGAATCCTAATACTGCTTCAAAAGAGTCCTTTAAAAGTATACTAAAGATTAATAATGCCCAGGCCTTGTGGCTCACACCAGAAGTTTGATATCTGTGGATTATGCTTCAAAGATAGTTTGGGCAAGAAAGTCTGTGAGACTCCTGTTTCCAATTAACTACAAAAATCTGGAAGTGAAACATTGGCTCAAAGCTCAAGGACAGTGCCCAGGTCTTAAGTTCAAGCCCCAGGACCAGCACAAAGAAAAGATTAATAAAATAATTTAAAAATCCAGTTTTTGAGATCAGAAATATTATAATAAATCCTGAAGATGGCTAAGAAAAATTAATATAAGGACATTATTTAAGGAAGGAAAAATATGTTTTTATTTATTTTTACTTTTTGTAATATATATTTTTTGTAAAGATACTGTACACGGATTACAGTTACATGAGTAAGGTAATGAGTACATTTCCTATTGAGCATTGTTACCCTCTCCAAAATATGTTTTAATAACCTGTTCTCTTTTATCTTTAAGTAGTTATACAAAGGAGGGGCCATTTAACAAAGCAGTTCATGACTACAAAGATTTTTAAATGAATTACAATATGATGGGACTGACAATTAGGAAATTCAAAATATGATCTCATTAATAAGTGGAATCTAAAAAGTTAATGGCATGGTACTTGCCAGAGCCTGAATTGGGTAGGAGGAGGGGCCAAAAAAGAGGGCAAGCAATGGGTACAGTGTTATAATCACATAGGATGAATTAATTTTAGTGTTTTATGACATAGCAGGACAAATTTAATTAACAATGCATATCCACCCTAAATACGTGAATAAGGAAAGTTTAAGGAAATGTATATGCTAATTAACTTGGATTTATCTACCAATATATACATGAATCAAAATATCATATTGTACCTTAAGAATACATTTATATATTATCTACCCATCAAAATCATTCAAAATAAACTTAAAAATATTCTGGGTTGATGAAACAGATTATATTATGTTATATTATGGAAAGACATAACACAAAAAGATCCATCTTACTGTTACTAAATTCCTAAACAGTTTTATTCAGATATCTCTCTTATATACTATGACCAGGCACAGCTGTCCGGTATCTGTTTCCCAGAGATGCTGTAACTTAGTAAAAACCCAATGTACAGATGGATGGATAACAATTATGTTTCCTGCTTAGTGGCAATCCTAATTTTTTTAAATTTAATTTAATTTTATTTGTGAACATACTGTACAGAGGAGTTACAGTTACATGGGCAGGATAATGCGTACATTTCTTACCAAGCATTGCAGCCTCCTCCTTTGTTTACCCTTCACATCCCTTCCCAGCCTCCCCCCTCCCCCCCAATCCCAATCCTTCTCCTCCCCCCCCTCCCCCCCTTCCCCCCCCCCCCACCAACGTTGTAAAGCTCGTTTTGGACATGACACCTTGTACTTCTTATTGTTGCAACAGGTCCACCTGTATCCTTAAACAACTGGTTTTTCCCCATCTCCTCCACAAGTTATACTGACATCAAATATAGTGAAAGCAGGGGTTATACTGTGGGGGAGGGACATACAAAGCAACGAAGAGATAATCTTATAAATGTGTTAGAAACACATGCATGAAAGAAAAAAAACATTAAAATACACATCTAAGGGTTCATTTTCCTGACATCACGTTATCTGACCTTTTCCGCTTGACTCATACATATACTAGATATTACAAATAAGGGAAACCATGGGACCTACGTTTCTTTGGGCCTGGCTTACTTCATTTAATATAATTTTTTCCAAGGTTTTCCATTTCCTAACAAATGGGGCAATGTCATTCTTTCTGATGGAGGCATAGAATTCCATTGTGTATATATACCACATTTTCTTGATCCATTCATCTACTGAGGGGCATCTGGGTTGGTTCCATATCTTAGCTATGGTAAATAATGCTGCAATAAACATAGTTGTGCTGGTAGCTTTAGTGTGGTCTTGTTTGTAAACATTAGGGTAAATGCCCAAAAGTGGGATTGCTGGGTCATAGGGGAGCTCTATGTGAAGTCTTTTGAGGAACCTCCATACTGCTTTCCAAAGTGGTTGAACAAGTTTACATTCCCACCAACAATGAAGTAAGGTTCCTTTCTGTCCACATCCCCTCCAGCATCTGTTGTTGTTAGAGTTCTTGATTTTTGCCGTTCTAACTGGAGTGAGGTGATATCTCAATGTTGTTTTGATTTGCATTTCTTTTATGGCTAGGGATGTTGAACATTTCTTCATGTGTCTATTGGCTATCCTTCTTTCTTCTTCAGAGAAGTTTCTCTTTAAGTCTTTCGCCCACTTATTTATTGGGCAGTTGTAGCAATCCTAATTTTTTGTAAAGTAATATGTTTTAGATCCTCTTCAGACAGCCACATTGGTCACTCATAGAGACTTTGTCTTGCAATTGAAAAACTAAGATAGTCTGTGTTATCATATTTCTAAACTCTGAAGAGACCTTTAACCAATGTAACTTTCACAAAGTGATTTTTACTCTAATGAAAACATTTGGCTAGAAGAGCATCATGCCCTTCCTTTTTTTGTTCTTCCACAATACAAAATAGAAAATCAAAATACTATATTTTTATTGTGTATTAGGCCGTAAGAATAGACTTCGGGTATATCATTTGACTTGGCTTCGGAACAAGATTCTGCATAATGATCCAGAAAGTAAAAGGCGTCAAGAAGAAATGCTGAAGACAGAGGAAGCTTGCAAAGCTATTGACAAGCTGACTGGCTGTGAGCACTTCAGTGTTCGTAAGTCCCATTTCATTTCTACTACAGCTACATGAAGTGTGTTTCTTTTCATATGAACCACACAATTAGGAAAGAAGACTGGAGAAAGGAAAGAATTTACAACTTAAAATGCAAAGATGAGTAAATTTATTTGATAAATCTTCCAGGTTATTCCTGCTGCAATCTTGATTGTTAATGAGAGAAATATTGATTAAGTTACTTTGGAAGCTAAATTTGGTTTTTATTGTCACCCTTCTTCTCTTCACAGTTAACTTAAATATAAAAGCTAAACCAAACTGCTGCATAGCCCCAATTACATAAATGTTTCTGGAGATATTTTCAACAACCTAGAGAGAATCATATGATATTCTGTAGCTAAAGCAGAGAAAATAGAATTCCTCTTAATACTGACCAGGAAATTTAATAAATGAAAAAGAAAAATTTTCCATAATCTATTTTTATGCCACTGCCAATATTAATGAGTAAAATCACTAATGTGTAATTAGAGAAAGTTTTCATAGCAATAACTCAAATTATGTCATATGAATTGTAACAGGGTATTCTTTTATGACTACTATGTTCTGTATAGAAGTGACTTTCTTAGGATAGACTTCCACATGTGCAATTGTACACATGTACCATTATAAGGTAAATTCCTATAATACAAGGCTATCTTCACATGTAGATATTACTACTTTCCTCCAGTCATATTATATAAATCTCACATCCCTAGAGGTGAATGATATCCCAAGATGTTAATTTAGGAGGTTATATTATTTTATATTATATATTTTATTATTATATGTTTTACATTTACCTTGTATAGTTCATGGAGATCTAAAAGTAGTCTTCTTCAAAATCTGTGCTCTTGATGAGGGCATGGACTAGTTAACTCCAGTTTTTCTAACTAGCTTTATTTAACCCATCAAAAATACTCAAGGGCAACCAAAACTTTCTCTCATTAACAAGTACTTTTCTATATATTTGTATATATGTATTCATTTTTATTTTATCTTGAATAGTACTGACACACTGTTTTGCAACTGAATATACCCTTTTTCATTACTATTCATAATATGTGAGTACCCTACTTTCTCTACATCCTTCCAAACACCTGCAGATGTTATAGGTATCCTAGGGAGTGTAACGTGGTACTTACTGTAGTTTATAATTACCTGATTATTAATTTATGTATTCCTTTGTTTATTGGTCATTTATATATCATCATTTGAGAATGACTATTAAAACCTTTGCCTATTTTTACTTTTTGTTGAGTTATAAGCCTTTTAAAAATTGTCTACTGGACTTTGGACTTACCGAATTTATGGTTTACAAATACTTCTAGTCACTGGGCACTGGTGGCTCACACCTGTAGTCCTACCTACTCAGAAAGCTGAGATCTGAAGATTGCAATTCAAAGCCAGCCCAGGCAGGAAAGTCCATGAGACTCTTATCTCCAATTAACCACCAGAAGTGGCACTATGGCTCTCCTTGAGCTGAAGAGCTCAGGGATATCACCCAGGCCCAGAGTTCAAGCCCCACGACCAACCAAAAAAATAAATAAAACAAATACTTCTAGTCAATAAATTGTATTTTTCACTTTCAATTATGTCTTTTAATGAACAGAAAATTTTTACTTTGAGAGCTAATGTATCTATATCTTTTGTCTCAATATTTGGGTCAAATGTGAGAATCTATTATCATATTCAAAATCATCAATGTTTATCACTGTTTATTAAGAGTTTTACAGTGTTAACTCAAGTTTATAACTTTGTTCCATTTTGACTTAATTTTTTATATATGATCTGAGATAGAAGGGTCTTTTTTTATTGTGAAAATGCCATACAGAGGGGTTACAATTACATGGGCAAGATAGTGAGTACATGTCTTATCAAGCATTGTTGCCTCCTCCTTTGTCTCCCCATACCATCCCTTTCCCTCTCCACCCCCCACCCCATACCCCCACACCTTCACCCCCCAACCCCCACCCCGCCAAAGTTGTAAAGTTCGTTTTTAATTTTTTCTTTGGCACATGACTTTCCAGCTGTGCCAGTAGTATCAATTGAAGACTTGTTCTTGTTTTTGTTTTTGAGAATGGTCTTGAGACTGATTTGTATGTCTATGCTTATAGCAATACCATGGTATTTTTATAAAAATAACACTGGGAATCAGGAGGTACAAGTCATCTAACTTTAGCTCTTTCTTTCAAATTTGTTTTGGTTATTGAGAAATTATAATTCCATGGAAATTTAGGAATAGCTTTATGTTCCAACAAACCAAGCAGTTGGGATTTCAATAGACTGCATTGTATCTGTAGAGATGTATTTTCCATTTACCTTTGTCTTTTGGGGAGATTTTTGTTTGTTTGTACTTTTTTCTGTGTTGCTCAGAATCAGACCCAGAGCTTTGTACATGCTATATCCCCATTGATTTTTTTTGAGACAGGATTTCTCTTATAATTCAAGTTAGCCTCAAAGTCACAATTCTTTCTTTCTGAGCCTTTGCAGTATTAACACTACAAGAATGTATCCAATTAGCTCTTTAAATTTCTTTCATTAGTGATAAGGTTTTCCTTGTACAATTTGAATTTTATTGAAAGGCTAACACAAACAGCACATAAAACTACAGAGCAATCTTATTACCATTTGGGAGGAGGGGGGCGAGGTCATCAAATTTTAACTAAGAAACTTTCTTGAAAATAGTTTGTGCTCTTGAATTTTTATTTCAATAGCAAATAAATACTGTGTTTTTAATTTTTCATCATTGTTATTTCTTTGTATTTTATCATTGTAGTCCAACATGAAGAAACAACCTACATCGCAATTGCTCTGAAATCATCCATTCACCTTTATGCATGGGCACCAAAGTCCTTTGATGAAAACACTGCTATTAAAGTGAGTGATCTTTTCTTTTGAATCATACCATTTTTATTTTTTAAATTATATTTAGATATTTAATTATTGCTATTGAAAAGGTGATATACAGAGAGGTTAGAATTACATAAGTCAAGTAGTAGTACATTTCTTTTTTTTAACTAGGGAGGAGATAACTGTTTAAAAAGAAATATACTCATTACCTTACTTATGTAACTGCAACCCCTCTATTCATCACCATTTTTCTTTTAAGAAGAAATTGTATGCAAAGCTGTATTTTATATTGTAAAAGTAGAAATACCATTTTTCTACAATTAATGTAATTTGGATATATCATATCAATAATGATCATTTAACCATTTTTTAGACAATCCACAGGCACTACATCGAGGGGAAATGTGAGGGAAATCCCTGACTCACCCCTTATAGGACATTCCCACAAACTCTTCACTCCCATTTCCTGTAGTCAACATGAAGACATTTTCTTCTAGAAGTCCAAACACAGGTGTCTGGTGTGACCCCAGTGACTTGAAACTGAGAAAGTCCTTGTTCTCTCTTAGTGGGGGGTGAAGAGCAGAGGGAAGATAAGGAGAGATATGGAAAGGGTACAGAGAACCCCACTGGAAGCCACAAGAAACGTGAGAAAACCTTTGCTCCAGTTACTATAGTTGGGTGTGGGGACGAAAGTGGTGGTCTCCATTTCTTCCAAGCTGAAACTCCAAATTCATTCCTCTGTTGAAATATTGTGAGAAATGTTGATTAAGCTTATTGGGGGTTTTCCATCTTCTTTGTGATATAACTGAAATTCTGTGGATCTGCCACAGAAGGGAACCATTTAAAAGTGTCCCGAAAGCTGAGAGGATGGGGGAACAGGTAAATGGAGAGAGGAAATGTGGAAGAATATAGTTATAATATTCAGTGTACATATATAAAAATGGAATTGGGTAACTTCAGAGGATGGATGGGGTTGTGATAGACAGAAGACTGACCTGACAGAAAGAGTATATTGAGCGCTGGGAAGGTGGCTCAGTGGTAGAGCAATTGCCTTTCATGCCTGAGGCCCTGGGTTCAATTCCTCAGCACCACATAAGCAAAAAAGAAAAGAAAAGAAAGAGTATATTGATCAAGATGCACTGTACTCATTAATTGATATGTGAAATTGAAACCCTTTTTACAACATCTCAAAAATAAGAAAAATATTAAATTAAGATATAAATGTCCCAAACAAGCTGTTGCATATTTTTTCATACTCTGTAATCTGAGAGCTGTAAGGACTTCATACGTATATAATTCTTAGTTTTCACTTAAATATGCTTATTGTATAGTGAGGTCTGATATACTGCAAGCTCTTAACCTTGGATGAACATCAGAATCAGCTGGACTATTTGTAAAAGCATTTATATCTCAAATTGAACCCCAGGCTGAATTAGGGTATCTGTACTGGGCCTGGAAATCTCTGTTTGTATCAAATGTTCCAGATGATATTAATCTAGCTGGTCTGTGGATGTATTATAGGAAACCATTCATAGGGACATATACAGATAGACTCTAGAAAGATATTTATAAAATACTTCTGTATCCTAGGTCAGGATCTGTGTATATGACCTATTTTGTAAGCCAAAAAGCTTACCTGTGAAAAGTAAACATGTCTAATTCTTATGACTATTTCTTAAGCATATTTGCACAATAACTATGTCTCTTTATAAATAGAGCACTCTGGGTCTATCTGGATACAAATCATATCCCTGATCTGATCTTCCTAAACTTGGCCCTGGCTCAGCTGTCAGTGTTTGGGTATGGGTTTCTTCTTGGGTGTATGCTGATTGGTTATGGCTACCTGGTATAGAACTGAAAAATGAAGAGATAAGTTCAGTCTGTCGACCAAGATACATAGTTCTTGTCCAAGTCCTCATCCTAGTTCATGAATCTCACCTAATGACTACAGTACAGTGAATCTTGTGAGGCTCAGTTCTCCACCATGACCATGAGTAGAAAGCATAGGAAACTAGAGTCTACCCAGTCTATGGTAGGTTAACATGTCTGGCCTTTTTCATTCCTTACTAAGTATGCACTGATCAATCAGCAGACTCCAAAGGAGACTATATGTCCTATGAAGCCTATATACGAATACTGGCAAAAATAAAAGCAGCTGATCCAGCGAACAGGTTTAAGAGACCAGATGAGCTCCTCCATTTGCTAAAGCTCAAGGCAAGGAATTTAAAGGCAGCCCATACCTTCCAGAGCCACATGAAGCAATTATGATCATTGGCAATGTGCTCTTTGAAGTCAAACAATGTTTAGAACTTAAATATAATTGCATATTTGTTGTAGTAATAGACCTAAGAAAAATTTTTGTACATGGGTCCTTAAATACAATATGGCACTGAAACAATACATCTGGATTTCATAAACTTGTACATTTGGGAAAAGAATATAGACACTTTTATTTTAGTCGGAATATCTTCTTGGCCTTTTGGCTATTTTTTAATTTTATATTTTCAGGTATTTCCAACTCTTGGTTATAAGCCAGTGACAGTTGACTTAGCAATTGGTCCTGAGAAGACATTGAAGATTTTCTTCAGCTCAGCAGATGGTTATCATATCATTGATACGGAATCAGAAGTTATATCTGACGTGACCTTGCCAAATAATGTAAGATTCTAGAAATTATTACATAATACTATTAATTTTTCTGACTTCCAAAAACTTGACTATTTGAAAATTATAACTAGCAATTCCTTTACTGGAGTGGAGATAACGTAAGAATAGAGTGCCAGAAAAGGGGCTATGCACAAAGAAAAATAACCAATAGTTTCATATTACAGAGAGCTGAGTCTATTCTATAAAATAGTCTTTGTCTCATACAGTGTTTCATTGTTTTGGTTTGTTTTTTTGATGGGGGTTGTATAAAATGAATGATGTTTACATTTCAAATTTGAACTTTTACTGATAAAGAGATCCTGACAACGTAGGCCCACATTACTATCTTGCCATTATTAGATAGAAGTTATATCTTCTGCATTCTCTAGCCATCCATAATTATGCATTTATAGTAATTGACCTCAGCAGGCATGAGTTTGCAGTCCTTGCTTTAGTCTGGCTAGACATAATACATTCAGAGATCTTTTTAGTGAAATAGTGGCATTGAAACATTATTATGAATAGCCTTCTTTAGTGTATTATTTTAACTGTAGTATATAACAAATTCTAAGTAATTATCTTATAATATTGATATTCAATCAATTATAGTTGATCTTTCTGAAAAAAGGATTCAGCATGCAAATACAACTCACTTTTTAACTCTTAAATGGTTATAAGTATTACAAATAAGGCACAGCCTTTAAAATATGGACAGTTCTAGAAATGCTGTAGATTATATATGAGCTTGAATGTAGCATAGTATCCCATATACGTGTGAAGTGTAAATATTCACTTTGAATTTAATGGTGACAATGATGATTGTCCTAAACATTATATTTAGAAAGAAGGCCTGAAACAACAATTTTTACCTTTTATCCATTCCCAGTTTTTAGACAAAATTTTAGCAGCTTACCATTATGTAAAAGTTCCCAGAAAAATATTTATATACATTTATATATACTTATGGGGGCAGATTAATACACTGGGTTTGAAGTCAGGACCTCCCACTTGCTAGGCAGATGCTCTACCACTATACTCACACTTCTAGCCCCTTTTTTGCATTGGTTGTTTTCTTTTTAAAATCTTTTAAAATCCTTTAAATACCTTTAAAAATCATTTTATTATCTTTAGTTTTATAAAGCAGTTTCTATTGAATATCTTTTTTATGTGTAAATGGATCTTAATCAGTGTCACTCCTTCCACTATTCCCCTCTCCCATCTATCCCCCACAGCTTCTCTAGTTTCCCAGTGCCAATTTCATATATGTACATTGAGTTTATTTTATTTATTTGTTTTGGGTAGTTTTTCTTGTTTTCATTTTCTTTCTTATTATTTATTTATTAATACATTCACTCATTGTAGATTATTATCAGTGTATTTGCCTACCATTCTACATTAGATACTTTCCAAATAGTCTCTTTATATCCTGGCTGTCCTAGGCTGTGGATTGTCCAACTTGAGCTTTCTATCACAGTGAATGATAGACACATGCCACTGTATCCAGCCGTTGATTGAAATAGAATCCAGTGAACTTCTTTTCCCTAGGACCCTCCATTCTGCACCTCCAAAGTAGCTAGAATGACAGACTTGACCCACTGTATCCATTGTGCTTTTGCTTCATGGTTAGAACTAAGGGGCTCATGCATACCTTGCTTACTCTGCTATCACTGTACAATTTCAGTCACAGTGCTAGCCTAGGTTTTTCTAAGTTACTGTAGAGATGGAGTCTTATGGACTTTAATGCCTAGGCTGGCTTTGAACTGTGATTGTCCAGATTGCAGCCTCCTGAATAGCTATGATTACAGGTGTAAGCCACCAATTCCAGGCTGGACTATGCTTTCAAACTATGTTAGTCTTCAAAATTTCTTTCAAAATCGATCATATCTCCAATAATCAGTTAAAACATAAGAAGTAATTGTCAAAAAAAATGTACTTGTTATCTTGCCCATGTAATTGTAACTCCTCTGTATGGTATTCTCACAATAAAAAAATAAAAAAAAAAGAATTCCCTAATCACCAAAAAAGAAAAAAAATCAGTAAATACAAAAAAAGCAATTGTCAGAACATTAGCAAAAATATCTTTAAAAATTATCTGGGTCATTCTGAAAAGTATTAGCTAATCACCCAATGGTTGCTTTTTATTCTCTACAATTCACGCTGTTTTGATATAGAATCACTAAACCTGTTCGCCAAAACCACAGACTAATTTTTAAAAAAAAACATTTTATTAGCATATATACTCATGCATTGTCTTCCATAGCCTTCTGCATCTTACTATTTGTTTAGTCATATCAGATATCTTTAATTTAGATGTCAGGAAAGACTGAATTGCAACACAGGTCCAAGTTTACATTTATTTGAATATCCACTGAAGAAGTTAGAACCCAGTGTTTGACCTGGCTAAAACAATGAGGAAAATTATTTTATTTTGAAACCATCTGCTAATTACTATGGAAGTTAGAATGAGAGATGAGTTTTGTGTGTGTGTGTGTGTGTGGTTTTTTTGTTTTTGTCAGTCGTGGGGCCTGAACTCTGGGCCTGAGCACTGTCCCTCAGCTCTTCACCTCAAGGCTAGAGCTCTACCACTTGAGCCACAGCACCACTTCCGGCTTTTTCTATTTATGTGGTGCTGAAGAATTGGACCCAGGGCCTCATGTATGTGAGACAAGCACTCTACCACTGAGCCAACTTCCTGGCCCGGAGAGATGAGCTTTTAAAAGAAGCATCTTCTGACCTAATTAGGGTATCATGTATATAAAAATTATTTTTAGCTGGATACCCCAGTGTCTTGACCCATTAAAAAAGACCTAATATAAGAGCATGACATAGTGTGTGAAACAGAATGTTCTAAACTCTTATTTTTCCAAGACTACAAGATTACAAAAGCTATAATGCTACAAAAGAGACATGTGTGCTAAAGAATATCTCATTACTTCAGGAATCATCTAAGAAGCAAGAAACCCCAGCGGCTGTCTGGACTTACAGCAGTCCAGTTTTATTGCAAACAGATTTTGTTCAGACAAGTTTATTTCTTGCAATTTGTTTTATTCTCTTCCTTCATCTCTAAATTTTCTGATTCAGTTGCTCATGCAAGTGCCCAGGGAACGTATTAAAATTGCTTTTCGCCTCTGGATCCCAATTTTAGTTTTAAGGATTGTTGTTGCTGAGACATGGCCTCCAGCACTTGGCCTGAGTACAGTGGGTTTGGCAAGTATAGTTTCTGACTGTTTTTCTCTCTGTAACTTGTTAATTTGGAGAAACTACAGAAGCACAGTTGTTCATTTCTCAGGGAATTATTGCTAGTGTGACAGTATCTCTAACTGTACTTTAAGGAATTTTGTCATATCACTTTATGTATCATAAAATATAAAAATGCTTAGACATTGCTTAGTATTTCTGGTTTATCACCTAATATGTCTCTGTGTGTACCAACTGTATTTTAGAGAAAAATTCAGCATCTTTTTGTAAGAAAAAGGAGATGGATTATGATTCAAGCTATGAAGACAGGATAAAGCTTTCCCTAGTGAGCATTACAAGCTCAAGCTATTTTTAGGTTTCTTTTATTTTATTTTAATGAGTTAACTAATACCCTAGAACTTTGTATTATTTGGTTCACACGTGTATTGCTAAACTATTCATTAATTGTTGAAATAAATCTTAAGTTCTTATCTTTAACAAGTAATGTTTCTTCCATTACCATATATATACTTTTTGGAATTTCAAGAATTCACTTATGTTTGAAATATATCTATACTTTTTCAGATGAAATCATATTAAATATTGAATTAATATTTAATTTTCAAGGGTAATTGTTTTAGAACATAAGGAAAGCAACTTTTTTCAAGGATGAGATGTTATGCTATTTAGTTCAGAATTAGAAGTTTCTTTCCTCCCTGCATTTTAAACCTGTTTCTGGTCTTTATTACTCAACTAAGCTGCTTCAATTAAAAGAGTAGAGATAAAATGTTAGACATAGTTTTTATGAAACATAATACCAGCCCATGGATATCATTCTACCACAGAATATCATCATTTTACCTGATTGCTTGGGGATTGGTGTGATGCTCACCTTCAATCCTGAAGCTCTCTCTGTGGAAGAAAATGAAGAACTGTTCAAGAAGGTCCTTGAAGTGTGGAGAGATATACCATCTTCTGCAGGTATGTATATTTTTTACTCTTCAAGATAATGCCAGTGAAGCTTAGAAGTTAAATGCATGTATGTATGTATGTATGCATTCATACATGTATGTATGTTCTAGGAAAACATTTGCCAGATTATTTCATGTTGTCAGTGCACAGAGGGTTAATTTGGAATCCTGGACACTGATTCTCCTTAGTAAAATGAAAAACAAATGTTTGTTATGTTCTTAGCAAATTCACAAGAGAATCAAAGAGACATTTATTTCGGTTATCATGGTTGTTCACTGAAATAAATAATTGAAATAGGAATAAACTCATTTCCATAATCTATTATCTTTCTTCAACTTTCTTTGCTTCCAGACTTCACACTGATGTTGAACTTGCTTCTTTCCATTACACTGATTGTGGTGACTTACCTTTATCTTAGGAGACTGTCAGAGAGTCATAAAAATAAGAGCAAAACATATTTGTTCCCTACAGTCAATGCTGTTCTGCTTAATGAATGCTATTCCTATGAAAAATAAAAACATTCAGAAAAAAATGATATGTATGACTTGCTAGAATGTCTGTCAGATACAAACCCAAAGGCATCATAAAGAAAACTTCCTTTTCATCTTCATCAGACCAGGACATTTTTTTCTTTCTAAGTAATGTTTGACTACTGAACTGGTAGATTCAAATAATTTGATATTCTTGTTTACTTCTGAGGCTTGGTGACAACACGGGCAATTCAAGATGGGGTATGCATATTAAACAGCATGCATATGAAAAGTAAAAATACTAAAGAAGGCAAGATGATATGGTGGAAGATAACTATTTCTGAAAGGAAGAGGAATATAAAGGAGCAAATAAAGGGCAAACATGTATCTGCAGCTAGAGGGTGGAGGGTGTATATAGCAAGAGAGAGACAAAGATGGAAAGAGAAATGTAGGAGAAGCCAGAAACATTAGAAATCTCTATAAAGTGACTAAAATTGACCTGTCACCCCACATCACTTTAAGGACCACTTTGAGAGAAATTATTTTTAATGGTAACTTTTTCTGTGGGATAATAGCAATTTGCACTCTATCACAGAAGCTTTTATGTTTGCATATGTAGTCAGGGCTGAGGAAAACCTGTGTCCTGAAAACCTGCCCCAATTTTTTCAAACAGTTAAGAACCTTCTAAGGATTTAAAACATTTTAAGTGACAGAAGATAAATGCTTTTGATAAAGTTGACAGATCTAAGGCAAAAGAAAATATCCTGTATCTTACATATACGTTTATCTGATTTTGGGGAAGGAAAGGAGAATCACAAAATGGTGAGACAAAGGACAAAGGCTGAACTAATGCAACAGCGATACTTACAAGACAATATGTTAGAAATGAACTTTACAACTTGTGGAGTGAGGAAGTTGGAGGTGAGGGAAAGTGGGAGAAAATGAGGGAGAGGGCAAACCAGCAAGAAGGGTACTCATTACCTTACTTGTGTAACTGTAACCACTCTGTACATCACCTTTACAATAAAATTAAATATTACTAAAAAACAAATAGAAATAACAAAGCTTGCTATATCTTTACAAAGGTACTTTGTTGATCAGTATGTTCATCAGAAATGGAAATAAGGAAATTCAGTTCAAATCCCTATGTTTATTTCCCTAGACAAGTACAGGAATCAAAATGGATCTCGAGAAATATTCTAGAGCCCTTCCCTTTATGCAAGACAATTTCTAACCTATTTTTATCCTAGAACAAAACATTATTTTAAGTTGGCAGAATTTGAAAGACATTCAGAAGTAAGTAAATTATAACAACACAAATAAATGATATATTTTAGGATCATTTTATTAGCATATGTTAATTATGCAAAGTGAGGGGTTTCACTGTAATATTTCCAGACATGCCCATAAAGTGCTTTGATCATATTCACCTTCTATATTACTATATCTAATCCCTCTTCCCCAAATCCACCAATTCTTAACTTTATTGTAAAAATTTTTAATGGGTTTAATTATGACTTTTTCAGGTGTGTATACAATGTCCTTTGAGCACATTAAGTTATATATGTGTGTGTGTGTGTGTGTGTGTGTGTGTGTGTGTGTGTGTGTGTGTGTGTGTGTGTGTGTGTGTATATGATAGTTTGAAAGATTATACTACAATTTAACACTGATGTTAAGGAAATCTATAGTCATAATTTGCTCTCTAGCAAATTATTTAAATCCAGCCCAGATCTAGATTTCTCTAATATAAATTTTACATTTCCATGAACTGTATGATAAACACTTTCAGTAATAAATTATCACTCTGCATTCTCAGGAGCATAGAGACTTAATAATCACAGAAAGTTCTACCAAGTAATCACACTTCCAAAACATAGAATCTTATTTCAGCAATCAGGTTACCATGTTAGATCAATGATTAGTGGCAGATGCTACAGGATTAAAGGAGAGACTGTGTGACTATATGAATTGGACACTTGGATTTGCTAAATTGCCTATACATTAGGTATACAAATTTTTATTCTGGGTAAATTATTTTTTACTTTTATTATAAAGGTGATGTCAAAAGTGGTTACAGTTATATACATAAGGTAAAGAGTACATTTCTTGTTGAACATTGTTACCCTCTCCCTTGTTTTTGCTCCCATTTTCCCTCCTCCCCTCCCCACCCCCGACTCCTCCCCTGCCAAGTTGTAAAGTTCATTTCCAACATAGTGTTCCTGAGTATCGCTGTTGCATTGGTTCACCCTTTGTCCTTTGTCTCACCCTTTTGTTGTAGTGTTTCCCTTCCCTTCCCCAAATCAGATAAATATATATATATAAGACACAAGGTACCAAAGTCAAGAAGACTGACAACAGAAGCTAAAACAAAGGGGGGAAATGAAGGAAAAAAGAAATAACTTCTCACAGTACATTAAAAACAACAACAACAACAAAGAAAAATTTCTTGGCTCCATATCTTGGAGTTCATTTCAATTAGCATCATTTTATAGATTCCATCTCACCCCAGTTAGAATGGCATTATCAAGAAAATAAATAATAGTAGATGCTGGTGAGGCTATGGTCAAAAGGGAATGCTGCTACACTGTTGGAAATGTAAACTGGTTCAGCCACTCTGGAAAGCAGTATAGAGGTTCCTCAAAAGACTAAACATAGAACTACCCCATGATCCAGCAATTCCGCTCCTGGGCATTTACCCAAATAAATACAAGGCCACACTAAAGGCACCAGCATAACTATGTTCAATGCAGCATTATTTACCATAGCTAAGATACAGAACCATCCCAGATGCCCCTCAGTAGATAAATGGATCAAGAAAATGTGGTATATACACACAGTGGAATTCTATGCCTCCATAAGAAAGAATGCCATTGCTCCATTTTGAAGGAAATGAAAAGACTTGGGGAAAAAATCGTATTAAGTGAAGTAAGCCAGACCCAAAGAAACATAGGTTCCATGGTTTACCTCATTTGTAATAATTAGTATATGTCTAGGAGAGTCCTAGTAGAGGATCACAGCAGTTCAATAGCTATGTGCATATGACCATATAAGATGATGCTAGTCATTACTCTGTGTAAAAATACTTTTTTTCATGGCAGGATATTGCTCCATAGTCCATGCTGGCCTTGAATTCATGGTCCTCCTGCCTCAGCCTATCAAGTGCTGGGATTTTAAGTATGTAGTAGCACACACCAGGCCAAAAATACTATTTCTGATAAAATGCTCATTTTGGTGAAAGAATTCAAATCTATATTAACAGTCTATTCGTTGTTCCTTTCAGTTGGGCTACTGATTCTCTTTATTTCCATTATAATCTTGGGTATTTTTAATTCTGGTCCGAACTGGACTTATTCATTTCTTTCAGAATGGACATTTTTGCAAGTCAAAATATAATTTTCATGTAACATTTTAATGTTAATTTCATACACATAAGTCATTCGATTTTTAATAGGAAAGAGAACAGGGCAGAATAAATGCTTCATAATTTTTTGAGGGTTCCATTGCTTACAGTATGCCTATGAAAGTGACTTTCATAGAAGTTTAAAAATTCAAGGCTAAAGGGATAGAGTTTTTACCTGAAAAAAAGTTAAATAATTCCTTCATGAGTCCTTTAATGTATATTTTATACACACAAACACATGTATTTGAATGGCAGGTAAATTTTGATTTGAACAAAGGCATCCAAGTAATTTAAAGATCATGAAAATTTTCAAGGACTTAGATGGGAAATATATCTACACAAAGTTTATTCTGTTCAAAATGGAAAATTAGATTAATGAATTCTGATTTTGATTATATATTTTAATAATATAGAATAAAACTGCTTTGTTTTTAAATTTTCTAAATTATAATAACATGAATTGCAATCTTTATATTATTTTGAATGTTGGGAGTTTCATTTACTTATAAGTATTTTCTTTCCCATAAAATGCACAAAGAACTGTAACTTGAAAGTTAGACATTAATGTTAACATGGCTCCCTGTGACAGAAAATATATTACATTAGCTTCCTATATGGCAATTCACATAATTAGGTTTTTCTGCTCTAAAAAAATTTTCATGATCTGTGTTGTCACAAAATGTTATAAAACAGGCCTTAAATTTAAGATCTTAATAAAGTTTCTCTGAACAGGATCCTTAACAAGAGCAAATTAGCTTTAGTTCTAATTATAAAATAGTAATTTATTTAATTGCATTCAGGTTACTAAAGTCATTATTTGAACAAGTCCTTTTGTACATTTTAATTTTTAAGAGTCAGGCTTCCATGTAGGTAACATGAACACAAATACAGTAGCTTATTAAGTCCTCCTATTGGAAGTAGCATTGTAGCTGATGCGGTAGAGCTCTTGCCTTGAGCTGAAGAGCACAGGGACAGCTCCCAAGCCCAGAGTTCAAGCCCCAGGACCAACAAAATAAAAAGACCTCCTATTTGAATGTAAGGTCACATGCTGCCATACCAATAAAATAAAGAATAGCTGTGGGTAAATCTTAATGTCTAAAAACATAGTAGAATGAATATAGACTTTATTTGTGTTCTTAGCAAATATAAATAGAAGAATTAAGAGACATCTAGCAATTCAATGTTGGATGCAAAGGTGCCTTCAGGCAGCTTATTTGAAGACACTCCAGAATGGAGAAATGACTAAATGATTGATTACTGAATAAGAGAAAACTACAAACTTTTAATAATCAAACCTTGAGTGTGGTTTTGCTTTTGTTACTCCTGGCAAGACTTTATGTTGTTCTGAGTTTTTTTTTCTTTTGTATTGAAGCTTTTGAGTGTACACAGAGAACCACTGGATGGGGCCAGAAGGCCATTGAAGTGCGCTCTTTGCAATCAAGAGTTCTGGAAAATGAGCTGAAGCGCAGGGCAATCAAGAATCTGAGATTTCTCTGTACCCGAGGTGACAAGGTATAATTTACACCGTTAAATTAGAGCAAAAATTAGGCAAACATGTGAATTAACTAAAGCAATGTATGTCCTTTACCTTCTGGCCATAAATGTATAAGTTATATATTTTTCAAAATAGCATAAAATTAATTAAAACAATATTCCTTTTTTATTAAAATACTGATTTGATAAATGACAATTTTTTCCAAAACAATCTCATTAGCAAAAATGTTATACTCTCTAATTATGTCTTTTTTCTCTTCTGTTTTTTAATATGTACTTTTATTGTAAAGATACTGTACAGAGGGGTTACAGTTATATGCGTAAGGTAATGAGTACATTTCCTATCGAGTATTGTTACCTCCTCCTTTGTTTTTCCCCTACTATCCCTTCCTGCCCCACCTCCCCAACTCCTCCCTTCCCCCCCACAAAGTTATAAAGTTCATTTACAACATAGTGTCCTGTACATCCCATTGCCACAATGAGTCAACCCCCATCTCTATTTCAGTATCCTGTTAGATTCCTTCCCCTCCCCAAATTAGAAAAATGTACATACAAGATGCAGGACACTGGAATCAAATACGCTGCAAACAGGAGTTATACCATGGGGGGAGAACATACAAAAGAAACAAAAAATCAAATAGTATATTATAAGTACATTAAAAAACAACAGCAACAAAGATAAAACCTCTTGTGTCCCTATCTTGGGGTTCATTTCGCTTAGCATCATCTTATGTGGTCATATGTACATAGATTTTGACCTTTTCTGCTTGTCCTAGACATATACTAATTATTTTTAATATATTTTATTCTAAACATACTGTACAGAGGGGTTACAGTTACTTGAGTAAGGTAATGAGCACATTTTCTATTGAGCATTGTTAACCCCTCCTTTGTTTTTCCCCTAACATCCCTTCCCTCCCTACCTCCCCAACTCCTCCTCAGCCCCCCAAAGTTGTAAAGTTCATTTTCAGCATAATGTCTCATACATCTCATTGTTACAATAGCTCAACCTGTATCTTTATTTCAGCATTTTGTTATTTCCCTTCCCCTCCCCAAATTAGAAAAATGTATATACAAGATGCAGGGCAGCAGAATCAAATAAAGTAAAAAACGGGTTATAGCATGAGGGGAGAACATATAGAAGAAGCAAAAAAATCACATAGTGCGTTATAAGTAACTTAAAGAGAGCAAAAAAATTGCATAGTACATTATAAATACGTTTAAAACAGCAACAAAGATTTTTTAAAAAGCCTCTTGTGTCCCTATCTTGGGAGTCATTTTGCTTCGCATCATCTTATATGGTCATATGTACATAGCTTTTGAACTTTTCTGCTTGTCCTAGACATATACTAATTATTGAAGATAAGGGAAACCATGGGACCTATGTTTCTTTGGGTCTGGCTTACTTCACTTAATGTAATTTTTTCCAAGTCTTTCCATTTTCTAACAAATGGGGCAATGTCATTCTTTCTCATGGAGGCATAGAATTCTAGTGTGTGTGTGTGTGTGTGTGTGTGTGTGTGTGTGTGTGTGTGTGTGTGTGTGTGTGTACCACATTTTCTTACCCTACCCCTTAAGCTCTACCCCTTAAGCCACCGTTCCAGTCTTGGATGCTGCTTACTAATATAGAGTCTCAAGGACTTTGCTACCCACTTTACTACTGTGATGCTTAGTGATCAGTCTCCTGAATAGCTATGATTATAGGAGTAAGTCACCAGGACCTGGCTCCATAGTAACTTTTAGATTTTTTTTATTAAAGTGATACTTTAAAATAAAAATGCTTTAATGAACCTTCCTTTAAAATGTTTTATGATTTTTAATTGACTTGTATGAATTGCACATATTAGTGGGATTCAGTGTGATATTTGAACACATGCATACAATTTGCACTCTGTGTTCAACTTTCATTTATCCTCTCCTCCTACATGCTTTCTATCTCTAGCCATCACTATTCTACATTCAGATCAAGTATTTTTATCTTCTACACATAACAAAAAAAGTAGTATTTTTCTTTTTATATTTGGCTTATAAACAACATATTATCTGGTTCCATCCATGTTGCCATACATGGCATGACTTCATTATTAATCTTTTTGCCATTATTTGTATGTACCATATTTTTATACATTTATCAGTAGATGGCTACCTTGGATGATTCCAAAGTTGTTGTGGATCAGGCTGCATTAACCATGTTTATGTAGGTATCTTTTTGATATGCTGACTTTGTTTCCTTTGGTTATATAATAAGTAGAGTTGCCAGAATAGTTGCCAGAATAGTTACCAGAATAGTTGCCAGAATTTTATTTTTTATTTCTTTTTTTTAATTATGAAAATACTATACAGAGGGGTTACAATTACATGGGCAAGATAATGAGTATGTTTCTTATCAAGCATTGTAGCCTCCTCCTTTGTTTCCCCTTCCCATCCCTTCCCATACTAATATTAGGAATAAAAAAACATTAGAAATTACTACACAAGACTCACGCTAATGCCAGAACAAGCAGGGTAAAGCACTGCACATCATCAGAGACGGCCAATTTTCAATATAACGTGATGGCAAGAATGACTGTTGGAGGTCAGATAGACCTAGGAAACAGTCCAGAGTCTGCAACCTAACTACGTACAAGAACTGGAGAAACGTGATTGGTCTTTCTGAGCCTTACTGAATTCTTTCGTCTCCAAGACTAGTAAAAAGCATTTTAGGTTCGAGCATGAAATTTTGTGTAATATGTATATAGTAAATTACCTTACAATTTGTTACATAAACTATGTTAAATCGAGGCTATCTTATCTTCATCAATATTATTTCTCAGACTTTCCTAATTAAAGCCGTTGTGAATATAAATAAGCTTATTCCTAAGAAGGGGGCATCTATTAGATAGTTATGTCTGTGTTCTCATCTAATATTCTTCATGGAACTACTCACATTGAACAATATGTCCTTGTAATCCTTTGGGTTTGCCTCCTTTTAACAATATATTTAGGTCAGTCAATTTCATTTAAATAGAAAATTGTGCCAAGGCAAAATTTGCAGTAGCTACTCAGACACCAGCTGCAACAGTAAACAACATCCAAATAATTTTATATGAAAAGAAAAGCCAATTAGAGTAAAAGTAGATTTTAAAGCAAGGAATTGTTAATCTAATCTAATTGAGAAATTCAGTAGTTGAATGCCACCTACAGAAAATAATTTTACTTAAATTAAGTGAATTGCAACTCTATAGAGCACAATAAGACCTTATTTGTAAATATATAATTTATACTGCAAACTAATTTAAACCATCATTCTCTGAGGAAAAAATAGCATTTTAATTAGGAGATGCAGATTCGTTGACATTATAGCTATATAGTAGTAACTCAACACTATTATATATCTGATGGTGTCTTTTTCTTTTTAAAGGTGTTTTTTACTTCTACCCTGCGCAACCACCACAGCCGAGTGTACTTCATGACTCTTGGGAAACTTCAAGACCTCCAAAGCAATTATGGTTTTTAAGAGGTTCCAGTGATTTGTTACATCTACATTTATGATACATATTCAATTGCATCTTCACATTTCTGAGATTAAATGAGCATTCTTTTATTGCTAGAGAAAAAATTAAATCAGAAACTTTCTTTTAATGTAGCACAGAGTAGTTTTAATGAGAAATGCAGCTTTATATATAAAATTAACAATAGCAAGCTCTATGTACTCCAATGATGTACAATGTCTTTTGCACAAACTTTGTAACTTTTGTTACTGTGAATTCAAACATTATTCTTAGGTCAGTTTGGACAGTATCTGTATTCAGACTTACAATACTGAGTAAAGAATCTTATTATGAGTTAGATTACCAACAAATGAATTGGCCATGAATAAAACTTCTCCAGAGGAGAAAAAAGTTAAATTTATCCATGATTTTTTTCAAAGAAACAAAGATTGTAATGACTATGTAATAGTCTAGACTATGGTTGAACAACCTGCATGCCCAGAGTACTTTGAAGTGATAAATGAGGACACATCCTCCATCTCCTCCCAAGTAAGATCATAGTCAAAGGCCAGTTGTATTCTTTTTTACTCCTTGTTCAACTGATTTTCTCCCTAAGAGAAGAAAAACGGGAGGGTTTATATGCTTGATTTTCCTCGGAATCCTCAAAGATGCGCAATAGCTATTTTTACAAATCACTAAATTATATACTTGTAAGGCTGAATACAGAACTGAACTTCAATACATATGTACTGTAGAAAGAGTTTTCTCTTTTTAATACTTAAAGTAGGCGTCAAATTCTGTGCCCAAAATTAGCCATTTTTTTCAAAATCATTACCTGGCCAATAATATGACATTCACACAGCACCAAATATTTACCCAAACCTAAATTCAAGTGTTTAAAATTTTCCACTTACTAAACAACAAAAAGTGATAAAACATAAAACAAAAGACTTCAATGATGAATACTTAAAATTTCATGTTTCAAATGCTGTAAAATCAGTAACTAAGATTATTCAAACCCAGATTTAGTGCTATAATGAAATGAAGATTTTGAAAAAACATATCTACATCTGTAAAGTTAGAATAGTGAAAGTCATGCTAGGCCCATCACTCAAAAATGGTATAGACGCCACAGATAGGTGATGTTTAGTCACCTATAGTAACTGCTACCTGGTGAAAAGCATAATTAATACATATCCATCCTCAGTGCCAAGGTTAGTTCTGGGGCAAGAAGCAACAGAACCACCACAAAGTATACCTCATTAAGAATTCCTCTAGCTCTGCTTCTAAAATCTTTAGATGGTGCTAGCAGGACAATAAGTTTTAAACTACCTTGTTACCCAGAAATCAAAAGCAGCTGATTACATGTGAATTCATGATAGCACATCATTTCTTGGCACCCAAGTGCCAAAACTGAAGATTTGGATTTTCCTAACAACTTTTATCAAGATCAAGAGTGTAGTAACTCAGAGTTGAGAATGTAGGAGAACTTGAATCCGTTAACTAAAGAAATAAATGTGAATCACGTTCTGTTACTGTGATACAATAATGTGATTCTCCAACTGGCTCATCCTTCAGTGTTTACAACACAAACGACTTTTTAAATGCAATCATTTTGCAAAGGAAAACAAACTTCTATTTCAAAATATTTTCATAGAGGTAGTGTACATTATTATGTTTGTACACCAATAGGCCATGGGGAACTCTGTGCAAGTACCTCATTGCTGAGCAAATGGAGCTTGCTATGTTTGAATTTCAGATTTTTTTCTCATTTATGTAGTATGTAGGAGCAAGTCTTTTAATTCTTTTATTCTTAATAATATTTACTCAAAGTTAAAATCATATAGTTAAAAGTAGTTTAGGAAGTCAACTCCCGTTGTCCTCTGTGGCGCTTATCCAGCAAACATAGGCAAGAGTGAAGAGAATCTTTGAGATGTTCTAAAGCAACCACACATGAAAGAGTGGAAATGTGTAACTGAGCTTTAAAGGACATGATGTTAATGAAGAAAGAAAGCTAGGCACATAGCAAGAAGGGAGGTTATGAAATGAGCAGCCATATAGAAAAGATTGACATTATTTGAAATCGTTCATAGGTAAAAGACATTTCCAATAGAGATGCAAATCAGTCAGGATTTACATCCTTTTCTAACTGAAATAAGAAAGTGAAGGGACAATGAAATCTTAAAAGTACCTTGCTGGGTGCTTCATAATAGATGGAAGAAATTATATCTCTACATCACTTAGAGTAACAACACCTGAAAGCTCTAGCCCTTCCCAGAAGGGTGGGATGAATTTTCTGGAAGGCAGTTTTCCCTAGTCATTTTGTTTGAAGCATGGAAGATTTAGCAGGTTGTGAGCAGCATTGTTTGTCTTTATTTTAGTGAAATTTTGTTTTGTTTTGTTTCTCACCAAAGCCATTTTCCATAATAAACTACATTATTGGAAATATATGAAAACTAGAAAATAATGGCTAAAACAAAGTTGATAAGAAAATTTTCTGAGTGGTTGAGTCAGTTAAAGGAAGGTAAGAGCCTGAGAGGAAACAGTAAGAAAGTGTAATCATTTAGATGGTAAAATATGCAGGAATCACACATGTATTCTTACTCTTTCTTCCTCCCTCTCCTTCTCTCTCTCCTTCTTCCTCTTCCTTCCTCCCTGTCTTTCCCTCCCTTCCTCCTTCTCTCTTCATCTTCCTCTTCTCTATTTCACACACAGTTACTATTTTCAGTAAAACACATTAGAATGCACACAATTTAATACTTTCAATAACACATTATAATACACAAATTTTAATGTATTCAGTAACACATTAGAGTACAAACATTGCAACATTTTTATTACTACCAGTTTTGAGATAAATTGCAATCACTAAGTAATTTTTTTTTACCAAGAGTCAACTAGTTTAGATGATATACATAAACTGAGGAATGCCACACACATGCAATGGGATCTTTTAAGTACTCTTCAATTTGTTTCTCAAAATGTATGCCTCTTTTCAACAACTTATATCCAACCTATACTCTTAAAAATATTGTGACAATCTTTGAGACTGCTAATTGTTTAATCAGAAATTCTGTAATGAACGTATTCTTCAATCTTTAAAAATAAAAATTTTCAAAAGTTATTGATCAGTGTCATTATTTCAATATAATTGTGTAATGGCTTGGAATTAGGAGTTATTGGAGAATATAATGTTTTAAATTATGTAATAATATTATTGATTAGAAGATGTTAGGAAATTTGCCCTTGTATTGAGAATTCTGACCAAGAAGAGATAACTCAGTGTTATATAAAAAATCTTCTAGAAAGTGGCACTGTGGCTCAAGTGGTAGAGTGCTTGCCTTGAGCTGAAGAGCACAGGGACAGCACCCAGGCCCAGAGTTCAAGCCCCACAACCGACCAAAAACAATCTTCTAGCTACAATGAGTATATTATAAACTGATAAATTTTTCTTAAACATATGAGACATGATATGGTTAAAAGCCAGCAAGTTTTACTGTTGCCTCACCTACCATCCTAACTAAGTCTAGTGGAAAGGAAAGAGGAAGAGCCCTATACAAAGGACAGGTTCTGTATAGGCTGATAGTAGAAACAGAAGGTAACATTACCATGCCAAGTTATCCACGAAGCTGATCCTTTCATTTGGGACCAAAAAAGCATCACTTCTCTCAGCATGAAGCATGAGAGGCATGATTCTTGTACTTCCTATCATTTCAGGACATTCAGGAGAAATGTTCATCATGCTGTTCCATTTAAAGCCTTCTGAACTTATACATAATGTGTTTAAGTATGGCCAGGTATCCAGAAGTTAGAATACCTACACTAACATGATACTTTTCCAGGCTTTTAGAGGGTAATTTCAAAGTGTTTCATTCAACCATATTGATTTATTCCACTTTAATTTCAACTTCTTTTAAGGGATAGTGTTCTGAGCCAAGGGATAAAAGTATGATCACAATTCACAATTAACTGGAACAGAATGAGGCCCAGCTCATTATCCTTGAAGGCCTTTACCAAAGCACAAGCACAAGACAGGACATGAGTAGACTCAGTGAGTTAATTTTTGAGTCACAGTGCTGAAAAAAAATCTATTGATTAAATACTTTTTTCAATGCTGATTCCCCATCTAAAAGAAACTTATTATCTGTTTACAAAGCCTTTACCTACACTTGAGTTATACTGAGATTCTTTTTTTTTTGATTCAACCACATCTATCACCAGCCACTGTGCAAGGTCAAATAGGGGATTTAATGGAGAAAAACAGAAGTAAGCAAACTGTTACAATAATGCATGTCTTTAAAAAAAAAAAACACCTAATATAAAGCTGTCTAAGTAAATAGATAATATAGCCAGGCGCTGGTGACTCACACCTGTATTCTTAGCTACTCAGGAGGCTGAGATCTGAGGGTCGAAGTTCAATTCCAGGCCGGGCAGTAAAGCCCATGAGACTCTTATCTCCAATAAACCAACAGAAAACAGGAAATAGTGCTGTAGCTCAAGTGGTAGAGTGTTTGCCTTGAGCTGAAGAGCTGAAGGACAGTGCCCAGGCCTTGAGTTCAAGCCCCATGACTGACAAAAAAAAATAAAAAAGGGGATGGAGGGAAGTATAGGGTAGAGTATATCCAGTCTAGTACAAATAAGAAAGTGATCTGAAGAAAATGATCACTTGCAGGGAAGTTGTTTTGGGAGATAAATCATTTCAGGTTATACTAAAATTCTTGAAGACAAGGACTGTGTCTCCTCTGACTCCAACAATTGAATGATGTTAGCTAATGAATTAAAGTCAAATATGCTCTAGAAAGTCTTATCATATGTCATGCCAACAGATGCAAAATAATGATCACTTCCATGTGTACTTATATTTTCAGTCTTATAGTAGAGAAAAGACTAGATAAATATAAGGTTAACCTTTTTATTCAGCTTTGCTACCCCATATGCCAAAATACCTCATTTGATGCTTAACATAAAGAAAATATTCAATAAAAATACAAGCTCAGGGAAAAATTGGGATCTTTTATGAGACTAGATCTCCTTTTATGCTGTTTTATTTAAAACCACTTAAAATCCCACAAATCCATTTGTTATTTCATGAAAGTATCACCTCTGTCCTTTTGACTAAAGAATCATGACATATATGTGGTAATTAAAGTGAAAGAAAGGGTGAGTCTGATCACATTGCCTGCAAGGAAAATGCCTGTACAACTAATTGATGATAATAAAAAACTATGGGGAAACTTAAAAAATAAACATAAAGCAAATGTCAGGGGAGGATTTTATTCCACAAATCTGAAAATAAAAGATATAGTGCACCATAATTCTGTCTTTTGACATTTATGTGCTTACCTTTTAAAGAAACACAAAGAAGCCACTATGAGCCTTTAGTTACTCCTCAAGGTTTATGAGTAATGGCAAACACTGCTTACATGAAAACCCCACAAGAATAAGCCACTCAACTGGAATCCAACATTTGGTTTTAAATGTGACTTTCCCCCCCCCAGGATTAACTTCGTATTGTAACATCTTCTGATATGATTATGGGTCTTCAAAGCTTTTTAATACACTGTCCTATATATTTGATATGCTTTCTCCCATAAACAATTATATCTCAAGCACTTTTCTGGCACATAGAAGTTTTTTTTTTTTGTTTTTTGTTTTTTTTACTGTGGATGGGCAGATAGACACACCATTAAGAAGATTCTCACAAAATGAGACAGTCAGAAATAAGTATCATGAAGTTCAAAGCAAATTGAAATACAAAAAATGAAAAGCTTCTCCCCACAAGTGAAATTAAAATTATATAACAAGCTGAGAAATGTGAGCTTCATAAAAGGTATTATGAAATATCATAAAAATAAAGTATGAGTTTTATTTTCTAAACACGAACATGCAAAACCCAGATATATATGTACAGTTATTTGGACTCCTGTTCTCATCTTGATAATCTGAGAGAAAATTGAAAACTAATGTTGTTGAGGCTTTCCTCTTTCATCTACCACAGTTATATAAAGGACATGGGTATCTTGCATACATTAGAAAACTCCATCACTGGTCTTCACTCACATACATTGCTATGGTTAATGCTTACTTAGTCTCTGTGACTCTAGAGCTTCCAAGACATGTGTTGTAATGGAAATCTTTGTTAAATCAGCACCCCTAAGGCCTTAGACAACTAACTTCCTTGATATTGATTGTGTGTGGTTCTGTCCTGTTTTACAAACCGTAATTCCTTCTATCCTTTCTCAGAGCTGCTGTACCTCTCTTTCTCCTCTAAGCCCTTATATTCCTGCCCCACTTTATCCCTTGTAAAATGAATGTACCTCTTTCCATTTCCTTTTGAGAAAGGCCAAATATAATCATGCTAAAGAAATTAGTTTTTTTTAAATAGCTATACATTTTGAAATAATTTTTCTTTAGCTTCTCCATAAAACCTCTTTACTCACAAGAATAAGGAATATTGTATGAGGTGGAGGGGGAAAAATTAGAACTAAAAGATTAAAATTAATTTTCCTATCCACCTGTGTTTAATAATCTAATATAAGCAAAAAATTAAATGGGAAAGCCAAAAATTCTTAATCATTTCCTACCACTTTCTATAATCTCTTCCTTAGTGTCCATATTCCTTCTTTTTCACGAAGTAGCAGCTTCCTCAAATCCCCTCTGCTAACCCTTTGCTCCTTTCTTCCTGATAGCCCCACCTTTAAATTTATTGCTATTAAATTTTTTGGTTTTTTTATTTAATTTTATTATGAAGGTGATGTATAGAGGGGGTTACAGTTACATAAGTAAGGAAATGAGTATGTTGTTGGCGAGAAGTGTTACCCCCTCCCTCATTTTTCTCCCACTTTCCCTCTCTCTCAACTCCCCCCATCAAGTTGTAAATGTTTTATTCCTCTTTATTGAAGTATGGTATAAACACACACACACACACACACACACACACACACACACACACACACACACACACACACACACCACACCATTTCTTCTTGTCTCAGTAAGCGTGTGCTGCGGTAACAAAATACCTGAGACTGAAAAAAAAAAACTTAAAAAGAACCAAATTTATTTCTCACTCCTCTGAAGGTTATAAAATCTAAGACCAAAGTATGAACAAAGTTGATAAGGGCTAATCTTTGATTTGGTGTTTTATTGCTGTGTCATCTGAAGAGAATGACCAGTGTCTTTACCAGGCAGAAAAGATGAAAGAGGGAAACTTGCCCGCTCAAGACCTTTTATAAATGCCATAAGTGAAGGAGGAGACTCCATAGCCTAGGCACCTCCTAAAAAAACCTCATGGCCTGGGGCTGGGAAGGTGGCTCAGTGGTAGAGCGCTTGCCTTGCATGCATGAGGCCCTGGGTTCAATTCCTCAGCACCACATAAGCAGGAAAAAAAGAAGCTGGAAGTGGCGCTGTGGCTCAAGTGGTAGAGCGCTAGCCTTGAGCTGAAGAGCTGAGGGACAGACAGCGCCCAGGCCCAGAGTTCAGGCCCCATGACTGGACCCAAAAAAAAAAAAAACCCCAAAAGGGCTGGGAAGGTGGCTCAGTGGTAGAGTGCTTGCTTTGCATGCCTGAGGCCCTGGGTTCGATTCCTCCGAGCAGAAAAAGCCAGAAGTGGTGCTGTGGCTCAAGTGGTAGAGTGCTAGCCTTGAGCTAAAGAGCTGAGGGACAGTGCCCAGGCCCAGAGCTCAGGCCCCATGACTGGCAAAAAACAAACAAACAAAAAACCAAAAAAACAAATAAATAAAATTCCTTAAAAAAAAAAAAAAAAACCTCATGGCCTAGTTGTCTACTAACACACTTAACCTCTTAATGATAAATTTGAACTGAATTTGAGAAATTCAAATATTCAAATGTTCTCTAAACATATTATTCAACAGTACACTTAAAATTCTGATCATGTTAAAACTATCTAAATGTTTTTTGGTTAACTTCTCTTCTGATCCGTGACTTCCTGCCCAATAACTTTGACCACATTATGCCATCGATACACTGTTATTACCAATAGCTATAACTTTTGTAAGCTCATTTTCAAGTGCCCCACTGTATTATCACTGCCTTCAGTTTTTCAGTGGACATCATCTTTTATTTTTGGACTGAGATAGATCCTTTTACCTCACAATCCATGAC